GCTGACGTTTCTACGTCAGCGGGGATTCGGGTCGGCAGCTGCGGACGGACCTCTCCACGATTCTCACCGCGTCGAGCCGCGACGAATGTTCACGCCGTGAAGGGACATTTTTTTCACGTCACACCAAGGATTGAGGTTAACAGGCTGTTTGTGATTCTCATCTCGGAATCGCGTGCGTGCGCGCGCGGCTTCGTCGCGGAGAAGTCGCATATATTTTGATATCAACGCTCGCCGCGTTACGTCGTTGTTTATTTGGGCGAGGACTCCGACTAATTCCCGTAAGCGGAGCATTCGTGGTTCTCATCCGGGAGCCGTGTCGACGCGTGGTCGTCGAGAAGAGAGAGAGAGAGAGAGAGAGTTCTTTTTACGTCTCGCTACCTGCGTTTCAGTCGTCTCGTCCACTTCTGCGCGAGGCGAGGCTTCGATTCCTGCCAAGCGACTTTGCGATCCTTATCGCGGAATCTCGCGCGAATGCGTGCACGCTTCGCGTCAAAGAACATCTGTTTACAGTGTCGCGCTGACGCCACGTTGTCGTCGCCGCGGGCTAACGAGGCCGAATTTTCACGCGAGAGCAGGATCTTCGGTGTGTCCTGCGCCGAAAAGAATAGCTCTTCGCGCGGCGTCTTCGCCTTCGCATTACGCGCGATTTACCGTGTGTTGATGCTAATGAGGATTAAGATTAATTTTCATTAACGACGCGTCGGGTGACCCAATTCCGCGGATAATGAGTACAAGCGGATGCGTGATGTTTGACGCGGATCAGAGGAGATCCTCTTTTGCATCGCACCGTCATATTTACGGCGTTATCAATCCCGACGAGCGCGCGACAATTCCGCGAACGGAATTCGCCTTTCGTGCTCGCGACCGACGCTCCTTCTTCGCGTGCGAAGGTGCGGATCTTCGTGTCGACTCGGTGAGATCGACGAGGATTCCGCAGCTGAAACGTCACCCGCGCGATTCCACGTGTATGTCGCCACGGGCGACGGCGGCTCCTCCCGCGAGAGCCACCCGCGTAGGGAATTTTCGCTTAGATTGCCGGTCTGCTGCGTGAGATCGACTGGAAGGCACGCGGCTTGTCTACGTGTCGCGTCGCCTCGCGTTAATGGTCGCGTGTGGCCAATTAATCCGACGTGGCCGATAATCGCCGATAGAAAAGCGACGATCGGGCGCGATCGAATTTTCGATCCGCGGCAGACGAGCGTCGAAACCGCGCGACGATTTTACGGGAGAAATGAAAAACTCACCGTGGAAAAACTGACCCTGCCGAGCGCAAATCGACGCTGATGAGGATTCGATTGATATTTTTGTCCGATCGAGACACCTCATAAAGTGACATAATTATGAAACTTTGCGTGAAAGTAAAGTAGTTCATCCATAATGCGAGACTATTTTTTGTTCGTGCGGAATACCAGTCTAAAGGGGGTGAAACCATTTTTCGAAAAAAAAAAGAAATTTTAATTTTTGGCGTATATCTTTTAAAATACGAGGCATATGCGAAAATGGTTTATATGAAAGTTGTGGTATATTTCATACTCTTTGCAATTGTGTATTCAGATTTTGCAAAATTGGAAAATTTGTGATACCGCCTCCGTCCTCCTCCAATTTTGCATTACGGATGAACTCTACTTTACCTTCACGCAAAATTTCGTAATTTTTCAAATTTTCGGGTTTCCTATCTTTCCTTGTCAGACGATTCTTTCTCTCTTCGGTGCTTTTGTTAATTTCTTTTTACACTGGGAAAAATGATGCGCGCAGTCGTCCGTGATCTTTTGTCTGACTTTCAGAACGTATCGGTCTCTCACTCGCTGGGAGAACTCTCCGGTTGAACTAAACATTCCGAAGCTCGGGCGAGAAATTACGGGCAACCTTTCTGTTCGCGATCGTGAATGCAGATAGCTCTTTTTTTTTTTTCTACACAACGTGTATCACGCGCGCGTCGAGCTGATCCTGCGTTCTCGCCACTTGTGATAACGACGAGTGCGATCGCAAAAGATCGCGCGCGAGTGTAAATAAAAGTCGAAACTGCTACATTCGCTGCTGCACAAATCTTTGAGAGTCATCAGATGCGATATAAAGTGCGATACAAGTGCAGAGAATAGCAGGGAGTACTTACGGCCAATACCTCTCTCGACGCTCTTATCGCGAAGATTATCGCGAAGATTATTAATAGGATAACAATAATAAGAGATTAATTCATCGGTAATCATGGGCTCACGGTTCCTTTTTTCACGAAATTACAGCACGAAATTACAGCTTGGACTGGAGTCGAGAAAAACTTTCCAACCTTTTTATTCGATCCTTTAACAGCCTTTAAAACCCTCGATAAGGCCTCTTCGTTGCATTTTTCTCTCGTGACGATACCTGCACGCTTTTATCCCGTAAACCTTTGCGCCTTTGTGAATTTCTTCGCTTAAACACGTTCCAGACTTTAAACCGAATTTTCATTTCTCAGCCAAATGATATCCCCAGTTTGTGACAGCTTCAAAATAATTTCTTAAGATCGGTTCAGTTAATTTCAATGCTAATTTTTTTCTCATCATTCTCTCCTCGCTCTGTCGAGTCTAGCTTGACGTCGCGTTTTCTTACAGCTGATCCAATAAACGAAATTTTTCTAACAAAATGTCAGTCGAATTACGGTAAGTCAGTAGGACGAAAGTACATTAGCCGCACCGCGATATCAATGAAAATTACTTGGAAAAATAATCGATTAATGCGTGATTGAGAAAATAATATACTCCGAGGCGCCGTCGGTTAACTAGTTTATCCTCGTCACGTGCGCTTTTTACGCCTCGTGCGCTTAAAACGAAGCACACTCGTAATAAGCCACTCGAGCGGCGCGAGGCGAGAGAAAAATCGAAGTATAAAGAAGCGTATGTGCAGCGAATTGTAGACGCGGCGTAAACAGCTTCGATGCGAGTGCGTAACTACAGCCTGTGCGCAGAATGATTCTTCATCGCGTACAATAAGCAGCAGCATGATGTCCTGTCGAAGAAGGTAGCGGGAGGTTGGACCCAAGGTTGGGCAAGATCGCGAGTCAAAGGTTCTTTCAATATGGATATCGAGGGGGCTTTTCTGGCCAGCCTACCGAGAGGGTTCGCAGCGGAAGCGAAGAAGACAATTCTTCCAACTGGCGAAAGTCAACGGAAGACGAATGACTTCTTCGGTTCCAGGTTCCAGAAGTGCCGACTCTCACGAGACGGTCGACTCTGATTATCTCTTTCGGAGGAGAAACATCGTGCTACTGCCTATTGTTACGCGCCGCCTCTCTATTTATACGCGCAATTAGGAGGCAGCACCCTGTTGTATATACCAGGAGCGACGCTTCCGCGCCCGGTATGGCGCCATGCCAGGAGGTGACGAGCGCCGAATCCGCGAGCGAGCAGCGTCGCGTCCCGCGCCAGCGGTGCGCGCGAGGACGCGTCGTCGGCATCGTCGTCGTCGGCGGCTTTGTCGTCGTTTTCGTCGCCGACGTCGTTATCGCCGCTGCCTCTACGTGTTCGTAAACGAAACAGGACTCATCGCGCGTGCTCCGAAATGTCAGTGAACTCGAATCCAGCTGCTAAGTAACCAACTACGCCATCCCTCCCTCTCTGCGCTCCGCCGTCTCCCCATTCCCTACGCGGGTAGAAGGCTCATGCCGCCTGGTGAAAATTCTCATTAATTTGCCCAGGTCGGAAAAAGAGCGGAGCGAACTGAAGGAAAGTTTACGCGAGCGGAAAGCCAAGTCCCGCGGAACGAACGACGCTCGATTCGACCGAGTCTTCGAGCGACCCCCCAGCGACCTCGTCGATCGATTCGCAACGTGTCCGGTCTCGTGGACTCGTTATACACGTATCCGTCGCGTTCGTTTGAATACTTGTTGCAATTTGCTGCGACTCGAGTCCGCTTGCCCGGAATAATGCGAGCAACTGAGCCGCGCGAGCGTTCGGTTGATAACGCGAACGTCGCAACTTCGCCAGACGAGTCTCTCTCCCTTCGCCGATCGAAGTTGCAATTTGTGTGCTTCCTTCGGTGAAATTCAATTCTCTCGCGAGAATGCAGGAATCGCGGGGAACGACCTCGCGGGTTATCAAAGGACTCGATTAGCGCGGCTAAAAAATCTGGCGAAAATTTCAGCGGCGTTCAGTTCGCGTCGGCTTCGCAGCTGGAAAGCGCCACGAAACGACGTGGAAAGCTACGAAAATGAAAGCTAAGCGATTCGTCGGACGAGACCTTGATGGCTACGTCAATAAAAGACATACGCGGTGTCCGGGAAATTCCGACTCGGATCCGGCGGTTCGGCGTTCTATTGTCGCGGTCAATGTTTGTTTAATTAATATCTCTCTCAAATTAATGTGCTAATCAATCCTCTCCGTCACGCGCGAACGCGAGAAATCGTCTCTGGGGGGAATATTCGTTAATAAGAACTACAGCTAATATGTGTAAACAACGAATATGCAACGCCTCCCTCCTTAAGGCACTTGTTTCACTTGCAAATTCAAGTATTTGCAAATTTTCGCGATAAGTCCCGTATCGTACAAATGCTGCGGTTGCATGCATTTTTGTCATATTTTATTTTCAGTGTGATAAATATACACATTTTAGAATCGACACGCATTCGCGCGCGCGCGCGCATGTGTGTGTGTTTATACATATTGACGATACGGCCGCGTACGCATTGTCGTCCTTCAAGTATGGTTAAAAGAAGGCGAGATTACACGGATACGATTACTTTTCTTTTTTTCCGCTCCTTGACCTCAGTTAGCATTTTCATTCGCCGCTTCGCTCGTGCCAACTTCGCTTCTGCGAGTCGCGAGTGAGAAAATTTGCAGAGTCCGAGGAGATCCATCGAGGAACGATGTTTGTCGCATTAATTATACCTTCGCGCGATCTCGCGATCTAATATTGACGCGATCGCGCCGGCCGTGTTTCCCGGCCCCAAGGACGTTAGATCCTCGCTCGTGCAGGCGTTACACGCTCGTCAAGGTAACAGGTCCGTCAAAAGTCTGTCACAACACCCGTCATTCTGACGCTCGTGCGAAACTCTGGCCCCGCCGCAACGAGAGCGTTAACGCACGTTAACCGCGCGAGGCTTGATTTGTGCGCCGGTGCGGCGGGCGTTACGCAACAAACAACGGGCATTGTAATACGCCCGTCGCAAGGAATGTCGCGCGATCTCGATGTCCGGAGATGTCCGCGTGAACGCCCGGTCTAAATGCACCTCGCTGTGTGTCGACAGGGATGAGCGGTTCGCGACTTGGCAGAGGCCGCGGCGGCCGCCTGGCTATTTACGCGGGCTGCGGGGTGCTGCTTTTCTTCCTGGTGTTCCTCTACCGCGCCGCCAACACCGAGATGACCAGGCTGCGGGAACTCCACCTCAAGTGCGCGCAGCAGCAGGAGGCGCTCGCCGCTCAGCTTCAAGGTGAGCGCGTCCCCCGTGGAATACGGCCGGCCACGTGTTACGGCTTGGGTCAGAATCATACATTACTGATGCCGCACTTAAGCTGAAGTAAATCGTGGACGCGGCGCGTGTTACTTCAGGGCCGTGCAATATTAAAACTCGGGGGATTCATCGCTAGGTCAGTAAAGGTGGATAACTCACGGACTTTCGGTCTTCCCCTCGTCGTAGCCGCGTTAAATCCGATTCCTCGATGATGACGCCATCCGTGTTTTGTTCAGGAATTTGTTCACGTCTTGTTGTTACTACTTTCAGTTATATTCGAGTACAAGGCTCGGCTGGAGAAGTCACTGGCCGAGGAGAAGAGCTCGAACGCCGCGGTGAAGCAAGAACTGCAGCAGCGCGCGTCGAGGGAGAAGTCGCTGCGTGACAAGGACAGCGTGGAAGCGATGCAGAGGTTTAACTCGCTCCAGCAGACTTACAAGCTTCTGCAGACGGAACATCAGGATCTGCAGGAGGAGTGTAAGAAACGTGAGAAGCAGGCGCTAGATGAAACCAGCAGGTTGGAGTCGACGCTGCAGGACCTGCGCGGCCGTATCCGGCAGGCGCAGGAGGAGAAGACGAAGTCGATGGAGAACTTGAAGACCAAGTACGCGAATTTGCAAATGAACATGGACAGGCTGCAGGACAAGTACAACGAGCAGTTGAACATGAAAGGCAAAACCGAGAATATCATCATGCACCTGCAGAAGGAAGTGTCTCAGCTCAAGCGGGAACTCGAGAAAACTAAGGTAAAGCGTGTTCGAATAATGTTTCACTACAATTGACTTTGCCAACGATTAAAAATTATGCATCAAACCGATTAGATCTTCGAACGAGTAAATTTATCAATATACAATTTACTTCTTTTCAAACGTATGCAAAATCAGTTGCTGCTTTCGCACACGCTTGCGCAAAGTCAAAGTTACGCGGACAAGATCCAAAATTATTATTATAAAATATAAATTATATAATATAAAAATATTAATTATAATGAAAAAAATGTTTAAACTCCGCGCATTAGAGATTACAATTCGATGAATCGACTAACCTTGATCGTTTGATGCCGATCACTCCAATCCGCAATCTGCAATCTCCAATATGATACAGGCTTAATAGCGTCCTGAATGTTATCAATACTCTCTCCAGAATTCCTACGCGAGAAGCACATCTCCGGGTCCGAGTCTGGTGAGTCCGGAGGCGTCGGCCTTGCAGAAGGATGGCGGCTCGCAGCCGATCCCAGCACCGCAGCAGCAGCAGCAGCAGCCGCCGCCGCCGCAAGCACAACAGGTAAGTTCGCTGCAGCCTCTACACGCACCTCGCGACAATCACGCGGACGGAGCAGCTGAGTCGGAGGAAAAGTTAAACGACGACGCCAATGAGCCGGCCGGCGACATTAGGTTCGTTCAGAGGAACGGTAACATCGTTCCAGCCGACGCGAGCGACCTGAAAGAGGTCGCCGGCGAGCAGCCTCCGCAATCGACTAACGACCTTCAGCAGAGGCAGCAAAAAAATGTTGTCGAGCGGCCGGATGTAGCGGAAAAGTTAGCTCCGCTCGGCAACGAGAACGGCGGCAAGAACGGACACAGCGAGGAGCAGAATAAGCAGGTAATACCGCCGCCGAATCGGCCTGACGACGGTGCGAGAAATAACGACATTCCGGTGGCGGGCTCGCAGGCCGAGGTGCCGCTAGTAGGGTCTCTCGTCGAGAAAACGTCCAGGACGGCCGCGCTCGACCGACCGGTCGCCGGTGTCGGGGCGCGCGCCGAAGACGACGAGCTGCAGGCTCTGCAGGACAGGGTGGGCGTAATCCTCAGCCATAGGGCGCATTGACGGGACGTCGGATCTCTCGCGTTTCACTTGTTGTTACTCGCGTTTACGGCTGGGTTATTTTCAACGTGTCCGAGAGCAATACGCCGCACGACCGGCCTCCACGGACACCTAATCCGTGTGGATTGCGCTCACGTGGAAGATCCCTGCGGTTTCCGCGCGGTGTGCGCATACGGATTGCCTTCTCATTTGCTCTCTTTCATTCCTCTCTCCCCCAACCCCCCTCTCTCTCTCTCTCTCTCTCTCTCTCTCTCTCTCTCTCTCTCTCTCTCTCTCTCTCTCTCTCTCTCTCTCTCTCTCTCTCTCTCACTCTCTCTCTCTCTCTCTCTCACTCTGTCTCTCTTTTTCTGATACTGATATCAGAATTTATATCAAACGTGACAAATAAACGATGTACGTATTCGATGCGTGTATAGATTTGTAAAAAGCGAAATTACCGTTTGCACCGCTACTACTTTCCCCGAGTGTTCCTTGGGATTAAAATCCACCTCGCGAGTCGGTGCAGGTCGCATTTTTCGTGCACGAAGAGATCGTTCTGCTTACGGTGATTGCGCGGTTTTTTTATTTTCTTTTTTCGAGGAACGTACAGTTCAACGCGCCGATTAATGAGCGCGATGCGCGGCGAGCGTGCTGTTTCCCGATGTCCTCGGAAGATTGCCCCATTTCTGATGTACGCTCTTCTGACGCTATGTTACGTGACGTATATGATAATAATAATCATTATTAATAGCGTTCTCAACGTTTACTATATGTGCTTTTATCTGTTACACTTAAAAAAAATATATATATACATATTTGTTTCTAGCGCGTATTATATACGAGGGTAGATTGAAAACTCTTTCCGACCTAACCAAGAGAAAACAAGATTTCACTCAAAGTTCAGTATTTGTCCAATATATGACAGTGAAAGAAACACAAAGAGTGAAGTTTGACATCATTTTAGCAATTCATTTATTTCTGACAGACTTTCAAAGTTACAGTTTGCTAACAACGGAGAAATTGGAGTATCGCGTCGTGAGAAAATTCCTTCGTTTAAAAGGGAAAATTCTTACGCGAATTAAATCTGAATTAGATTCAGTGTATGAAGATGCTGCTCCTTCATTTATGACCTGAAAACCTGGGCTGCTTCAAGCGTGACAGAACAAGCATTTTCGACGAGATACGCTCTGAAAGATAAAAAATCGCAACAAATGGATGAAATGATCGATTATGTCACCAAATCGTGATGGATGATCGTCGATTGATTTTAAAAGAGATAGTGGAGGCTGCTGGCATCTCATACGAACGGACGAACAACATTTTACATGAGGAATTAAGTATGAAAAAGCTGAGCGCGCGTTGGGTGCCGCGTTTGCTCACTGTTGATCAAAGACGACATCGGTTGAACATTTCACGATCGTGTCTTGAGCGTTTCAAGCCGAAAAGGATTTTTTACGGCGTTTTTATTGCCGACGAAACTTGGATCCATCACTACACACCGGAGACAAAAGAACGGTCAAAACAATGGACTGCAAAGGACGAATCGATTCCGAAGAAAGCAAAAGCAATTCCGTCGGCTGGCAAGGTGAAGGCCATCATTTCTTTGGGATTCCCATGGGATAATTTTTGTGGACTAAGGGAAAACAATCACCGGAGAATATTATGCCGGGTTATTACGTTTGGACATGAAAATCAAGAATAAATTTGGCCGCATTTGGCCTAAAAGAAATTCTCCTTCATCAGGACAATATACATCGGTCCACAAATCAGCAGTTACGACGGCGAAATTGTACGAATTAATTCCACATCCATCGTAGTCTCCAGATTTGGCTCCGTGCGATTTTTTCCTGTTGCCAAATAATAAGAAAATAGCTATCTGGGAAAACGTTTTCGTCGGATGCTGAAGTGACAAGTATCGTTAATGACCATTTTTCGGGTTTAGACAAAAGTTATTATATATACTGAAGCGGGTCTAGAAAAACGCTGGGCCAAGTGTATAAAGTTGAAGGGAGACTTCGTTGACAAAATAAATTTCATGTAGCTCAAAAGAATGTTTTTTTTTTTTTTCTCGGTCATGTCGGAAACTTTTCAATCTACCCTCGTGTGTGTATCGATCTTGTAAAAGTGGGAGCTGTATCCAGTGTTAACGAGCAATATCGTTTGTAGTCATTGTCCGACGATTTGAATCATGTTCCTTTCAATGGGTTCTGAGGTGACACAAGTCTCTCGCAGACATCGGAGAAACGTCGTCCTAATCTCGGCGAGATATTCTTTAGGTACCTCGCATATGTTATATACGTTTTTTCGGCCGCCGTGTTTGTCCGTGCGTCTTTCACAGGCACACCTCCGCCTCGACTTGTGAGCGCGAACAATTCGCGGGCGAACATGCCGCGTCGAATGTTTCGAGGACGTAGATAGACACTCTCCAGTAGTCGTGTAATCTTTCCGACCGATCTCTCGCCCTCTTTGCAAGGCATGCTTTTGTCACTTTGGAAACGAGACGATTCATGTATATGTATAATGGCTCGTGAGCCGTCCTGAATGTGCCTGTACATCTGTGTTCCACGATGCATTAATAAATTGTTATTATGTTTATTCGCTTGTGCATTTTTATTGGCAACCTCGTACAACCTAACTCACCCTACTAGCAGCTTTCGCATCGCGCCTCTTAACTTACCACCGCCGTCGAGCGGCGTTTCGCTCTTACGGCGAAGAGAGCCGCCGGGGTTTACGCCTTTCGCCAGCCTGAAGAGAGTAGTCCGATCTGTCTAATAACCAGAACTGCGATCACGAGAAGCTTGTGTCTTTTTACTCACGTAGTGCCGTAGTAGTTGTAGCTTTCCTTCCGTTGCACTGGAACTGCACCAAATAACGCAACTTTGAGCGAGAATGCTAATAACGTACTGCGTTTACAAGTTCCTCCGTTGAATATCGCTAGCTGGGACGTCAGCTCCCCCCCCCATTTCGTACGTGAATAAGTGTCTTTTGGAATAGACCAATCTTCGTGCGCGCGTGTCATGTGTTTGAGATTATAATGCGCCGTGGACGATTTATGCGGCGAGATCGCGACGTGAAACGTCGTAACAAATCGCGCCGAACTAACAAAGAGAAATTGGAGACCGTGCAATTTCCTTAACGCGCGAGCTCGTCTATATCTAATGTGATGCATGCAGTAGCGAGAAACATTGAATAAAATTTGAATTTATTCGGCGACGATACCACGTCATGTACCACACTTTCCCGAAGAATGTCAATGCGCAGGGTGTCGTGTTTAACGCGTGAAACGCGTGATAGAAGCATTCATGATTCAAAGTCGGGTCGAGTGGGAAATTATTGTGCATACTCATAAGTAAAAACGAATTATTCCGACATGACGAGAATGAAATGGAATCCCGGATGGTCGCTTAATCGAGTCGGAGAGAATACATAAATATACGTAGCAAAATACGTAACGTTAATATCTCGCAACGTTGTACATTCTGCGAGCCATCGTAATTTTTATGTCGCTTGCTCTCACGACTCGTGGCGATAATACATGAAGAGTCGTGAATATTAGCCACGTGACTTCCGTCTCTTCAGCAGACCTTGAGTCAATATTGTGTAAAACGTATCTCAGCGCTTTTTCAAATTCAAATCGACGAGACGACCGCTCGGAAAACCGTGCGCTGAAATCGGCGACAGGTCGAGAACGACCTGATCGCGCGTGACCGCGTGTGAAAAACGTTTTCCCATTCTTTTCTTTTGCAGAACGTGGCGTACGACGCCGTGAATTCACGGCGAACGGAGAACTCCTCCACCATAGCGAGCGCGAGCAACCTGGTGTCGCCGTCTCTCGACAAGGTGCCGTCGCCGCACAGGCCGAAGGTCAAACTGCCAATCGGCGTACTGCCGATCCCGGAGATCCGAGAGGACGACAAGAAGTCGGAGGAGGGGATCCGAAAGCGGGAGGATACTGCTCACAATCCACCGCCGAAGTTCGTCCCGGCGAATCCCGATAGCAAGGAGAAGGAGGCGGTCGTCGAGGCCGGCAATCTGGACCCCCCGTTTGTCGCGAACCCCCCTGTGCGCCACGTCGGCGAGCAGATTGAGAGGAGAATGAACGACGGCTGGTTCAAGGTGGGACCCGGAGTGCAGGAAATCGGCGAGGAGCTGAATCGAGTTCCTGGGTGAGCAGGTCGTTCTTCTGTTCAGCGACGTTCACTCTCCGGCAGCCGGATGAATAAATTTCAACACGATGTATCGTACCGCGTTTAACGTAATCAGACATTCGTATACTCATAGTCGTTGTTAAGTACCACGAATACATACATATATGTAAAATATATATTAAAATATAGTATTACTTCGAGTACATATTTTTGCAAGGTACTTTCTGATTCCAGACTGGACGACGGGCAGGCTAACGGCGGCGACGACCAGTACGACGGCGGCGAATACGACAAGGAACCTCAGCAAAAGAACGATATTCGACTGGCGGAGGGCGAGGACGAGGGGGAAGGTAATTTGAGATCGATCGAATAGTAGTCCGGCGCGCAGCCTCGAGTCGCGATCATGAAATCATTCTCGCATCTGAATTTCAGACGAGGGCGACATGTTTGAATATCCGCATAATCTGAACCAGAGGAAACGGGAATAAAGTCGGCGTCGTTCTGACCTTTCTACGCGACCGATCGGATGGCACGAGTGGAAGCCGGGTGAAAAATAGATGATCTGACCTGACCTGACCGATATACGCAAGATTGGCAAAACTGATGAGAATCACGTTCGAGCTTAATCGACAGCGAATAGTATTCAAGTGTCATAAGCAACTATTCGATGCCATTTTGCGAGGGGCGTGCGATAATTAGCTGAACACTCACCCACGGGCGAAGTACTCTCATAGAAGACTCGACTAGCAGACTGATTAGCGGATTTGAACCACGATGGACCATGCCCGGCGAGAGGACACGTCCGGCTGATCGATCGATCCAACTCTACAATTCGCACGCGATCTTAGCTAATTCTATGTATGATAGTTTATACACACGGTACAAAATGTCGCGTCAGCCGGCTCCGCCACGTCCGACGAGATAGGGGAGGAGGCGGGAGAGAGGGAATTGGACGGCGGTAATCGGCATGCGCGACCGCGACGCAGGCTCTCGACGAGGGGAAAACGAGAATAAAGGAACACAGACTGTATTTTTCTAGAATTAAGAGATCTGCAATGTGCACGAGATGAGTACGTCAAGGGTGACTTAACTGCACGTTTTACTTAAGACACTCGTGACATTGTTGACTAGTACAAGTGCGGTAGCTTGGGCTTATACATTGCATTAGCGGGACTAACTGCGCCTAACGACAAGAGTGCGTTCTAACGAGAGTCTCCACCGAGCGATCATCTCGTAGATGTCGAATTCATCGGATGGATTTCTCTCTTGGACGTGAATTTCAGCATCGTATAATTTATGTACAAATTCCCATCGCCGTTATCACCGTTTTCCTCCGCACGGCTTCCTTTGTACTGTTGCTGTGCGTCAGAGTCCTGTTTTCCCCACGAAGTTATTTTCTGTCCGAAATAATTGATGATATATTTTTGTTCACGTACATTTTGTTCAGTAATATCCTGAGTCTTCTGAACGAACGGTGATGATTTTTGAGTCCGTTCCGTCAGCTGTTGCAAGATTTCAGATGTCGAGGAGGATCCAACATGGACCAAAGTGCGTTTTCGATGTTATTCCACGCTGTCTGTTATTCATTCGCGCGTCTAGTAATCGCTAGTTGCGCGTTTACGAAGATACCCGCGAGTACGCGTTATTGCACACAGACTTCCACACACTGAAGAGTACTCAAATTACACGAGCGAAATATCACATGAGTCTGTGAAAAATGTCTGTGCGAAAAATGATCCGGTATCTTTCCCTCACTTTTCTTGCCACGTCGAGACAAATTTTACGATGGTACAAAACAGCTCCGTGTGATCACTCGCAAGACACCAATGACTACGTCTAGTGTTGCGATCTTGGTAGAAAAAAAAAAACAAAAAAAACAAATGCATGCGGTGTAAAGTTATCTCTATCGATGCTGTCTAAACCCGGTTTACGGTACCGTTATCACTGCGACAATGGCACATCGCACGTGCGACTCGACCTCATCCTCAGCCTCATTAGCACGGCTCACATTAGTTACATTATCGACGATCCCTTCACAATCATGTGGTTTTTATTTCCCTTCTCCTCTTACCGATGTCCGTTGTCGCTGACGATCGTAGATTATATATATTTTTAATGTCTATTTTTAACAAGTCGAAGAAAGACTCTGTAATTAACACTGACGGCGACGATGTCGCGGTCTGGATGTAGCGATAACAAAGAAAGAAAGAAGTAACGATCGACATTTCGACGGGAGAGAACGAGAGAATTTGCGACCTCTATTTATTTCATTCTTGCCGAGAATCTTGACTGTAATTACGACTTAACCACCGGTAAAAGGAGTTACGTTAAGGGGTTTATTGCGAGCGTAACGTGTAATATTTTGTTATAGTCCTAGATCTTAATTATATACACATATATACGGAGAGGCGAGATGCAAATGTATATAACGTTCCTTTCGTAATAAAATCGACTAGAAAAATAGAAACCTTTCTCGCCTTCCGAACTTCGGGGCTGCCCGCTCGAGCAACTTTCTTCATTCGGAGATTCCCCGACGAATTTTTCCACCGGCATGTTTTTCAGACCGACTCCCGATCGTACCGTCTAGACTCGCCTGCCTCTCGAGCGTTCGCTCAAGCCTTATCAAAGCGTGGTCGATAACCGGAGATTTATGATGAAGGTTCGTTAATGCCTCCAACACAATCGCGTACATGCCGATGTTCGACGGCGTCTGCTCGGTGTTTTGTGTCTCGTGTGAAATTACTTTTCGTTTAGAGAAATTACCCGAAGGCGAAGACACGTCTGTCGACTGAGCGAGCGTTACTTGTGCTTGTTTCTTACCGACTTGCTTCTTACCGACAACATGCATTTTCAGGCCTCATTGCGGAGACGCTACGTGCGACAAGACGCTTAATTATCTTCTCGAGAAGAATTTCTCGGAAATTCCTCTCGCACGGAGAGGAGCTGAGAGATGGGTTGAGAGGCGAATCGATGCGCATCGCAAAGATTAGCAATCACAAAACGCGGACGAGAGGAGACCAAAGATCGCAGAAACGAGAATCGTTAATTAATCGTTAATTCGTCCATGACTACTTCTCTCGTTGGGAATTAATTTGACGTATCCGTCGGAGCACAATGCCGGCGATAATGTCTGCGTTAAATGCTGTCGCTCATCAGGCTGTTCTGATTCGCAAAAGTATTACGTAAGGTGATATCGGTGTCTCCCGCATCTCCATCGATCCTTCCTCGAACCGACGTAAGTGTCGATACGCGGAGCGTTTCGCCGCTTCCTCCTAAACGATTTGCGAGGTAACGTCGGCTTTGCACTCTTCGGAGGAACATCGCGAGCGCCGAAGACATCAGGCGCATCGCGGGATCTTTAGCGGAAGAAGTGGGTCAAAAAGTCAGTGAAAAATCTCGGCTCGATTTTCCACGACAATGGCGTAAGAACGCCGCCGAAAGGGTCCGGAGCGAAGATGTCATACGTAACGACACGACGGCTGCGTGATTGATGTCTAATTCATTTCCACCGAACGCGACAAAGCGACGAGTTCGACGCGAACGACAGATCCGATAATCTGATGATGTTCGACGTGCGCTGTATTCTCCCGTTATTTAATTTCACGCTTTCGTTAATTCGAGAACCTTGCCCCTCGAGGAGGAGGAGGAGGAGGAGGAGGTCGGCGAAGAGGTCTTGCTTCCGAGTGATCGTGACTTTTGTGTAGTGACTTGCTCTCTCGTGAAACATCTCTTCGCAGTCGCGCATCGTGCTCGCCGCTCGTCTCCTCGAGTGTTGAAAATGCGCTTTCGCGTTACTCACTCTCGACTCGGAGGAGCGATGCCTCACTTGTCTTAATCTTTCACCCGGGTTATCGCTGTAGACCTTATTCCCGTTGAATCTAGCGACCCGGCCGGGGAGAGGCGGAGGGAGAGAGAAGGAGAAAGAAAGAGAGCGGCAACAAGAACGCAAACACACTCTAGATTCGATCGTGCTCGTTTTAATCTTTTTTAACGCGATGATTCCCCTTGGCTATCAAACGATTCTACGGTAATCCCCCCCTCCCTCTCTCTCTCTCTCTCTCTCTCTCTCTCTCTCTCTCTCTTTCTCGCTCGCTTAGAATCCGCGCCGCTCGACGAATATCTGGTGGAAAATTGCGCGGACGTTTTAATCCTCTCGCGACGAGTCTATTGAAAAAGCATCGATCCGAGATGCTTTATTGGATCACGTAGCGGAAAAAAATTTCGGAACCGCCGAAAATTCGCGGCGTTCCCCGCGAGGTTTTACGAATTTCAATTTGTAATGCCGATAAAGCGATCATTTCTTCGGAGAGGCGTAATCACATCTTGCGCAACATTACGAACGCTGTCTATATTTATTAAAACTGATAGTGCTTCTACCGCGCTGTTGTCGCCTAGCGAATGGGAAATCGTGTCGCAGTACTCGAAAAAAGGTATTCACGTCAGCGTGTTTGCTTGTGTGTGTGTGTGTGTGTGTGTGTGTGTGAGCACACCGAACAATCGCGCCCAATTATCCTGTTGTACGCCTGTTCGCGAAGATTAGAAGAGCTCGGCGAAGCGGCGACCTTCGCGCCAGACTGAGTGGCCGCGTTGAGTCACTTTCCCGTGAATAATATGAGCGTTTACGGTAAATTAACAAGGAGAAAAATTCGTCTCGCGTCGTATCATTGCGACAGTCGATCGTATGTATCAGTCGTGATGTCGAAAGTGTTGCGACGGTACAGGACGTACAGGAATGAAGATAACGAGGAAGAAGTAAAATATGCGAGGATTGAAATAAATCATAACGCAAAGTTGTACACGAATGCTCGCGGCGAATCGAAATGGACGAAAATGCAAATGCACCGTCCGACGAATTCTCGAGTGCGAAGAGTTCGTCGTTTGGCGAGACAAATTCCCCCGTCGACACTTCTTTTTTCGCTCGTCCGCGCTTTCTCCGGACACACGAATGTGACACGGTCTGTGATTTTAGCTGTGATCGCGATAGTCTCGTTTTCACTCGGCCGTGTTCGGTGCGCGGCGTTAACATCATTTGCAAATCAAAAGATACCGTCAATGTAAACGCGCGAGTTTTATCCTCGAGGCGTCTCGGAATAAACTCGGGAAACCACCACGGAGATCGCTTTTGTATGCGTCAACACGCTTGGATCCTATCGGAGTCTAAAGTCCGGGATAAAGTCTCTCCTCGAAATTCAATATTTTTCGGAGGAGAGATTTAGAGGGAGGGGGGGGGGGTGAGCGTGTCGCGAGTGAAACTGTCGCAAGCGAGCGTGTTACACACATCTGTCGCGCAATAAAAAGGGAGAAGTTGACAAATAATCGCAACAATCGTGAAAAACGCGGAAAAATAACACGAACGAAGTAGATTTTATAAACGGCGACGCGAGTCGCAGTTAAATACAGTATAAAAATATAGTAGTGCAAGAAACGGTGAGACTTTAATAATTGTCACTTTTTATTATGTTAACAATTCCTATATACGTATATAAGAATCGTCAATATAATAAAAAGCGACAATTATTGAGATCTCGCCGTTTCTTGCAGTACTATATTTTTATCGCGAGCACATTGCGATAAAATTTGCCGAATAAACGTGTCGTTGAAGAGAGCACGATGTCAAGTATTATATTCTCCGAGAAGGAAAAAACGTCATCATTTTCCTGGCTACCGTTTAGTTCGCGGAGAATATGGTAATCGCTAATTACACAAATAATATCGATATGCGCATGTTGCTGTGAGCATTCTCGTCTCTCACGACGATACTTTTCGCAATTTCCGACCTTGACGGTCCTTCGTGTGTGTGTGTGTGTGTGAGAGTTACATTTCTCGTCTGACGAATTCATGACCGAGCAGCACGAGCGTGTGTACCAACACGAAGACAAAACTCGCTTATGAGCGACCACGGGACTGACGTAACATCGGCAGGCCCCACTACGTGAGCTGAAGATCGGATCGAGGTTTCAAAGTCCTTAGGGAGGAGTAACGTCGCGCCAGTACGCTCCGGTCGTTACTGAAGGTAAGACGTGAATAAAGATAAGACGCGCGCGAGGACGAAATTTCTTCAACATTCGGGAATTAGGCAGAGAACCTCCGAATCGTAGGAAAATCGACGTAACATAAAGAAACGTAAAATCTCAGAACGGATCTGGTCCTGATTAAGTAAAGGAATCGCGAGTCCGCTTGCCGGTGAAAATATCCGAGTGTGCCAGCCTAAAACACAAATTTAACACGAAAAATAAGTAAATCGTCTAACGAGATGTCTAACAAGTAGTAGCATCGAATGTCGCTTCGCTGGTCCGCTCCTCTCTCTCTCTCTCTCTCTCTCTCTCTCGCCTATTTCATGGTCGCGGCTTCGGAGACTGAAACGCCTCGATTTGCGGTCGGAGAAACGGGAGACGATCGGAGTGTTTATCGAATTAGCCTCGCAGTTCGCGCGACGCAAAGCAAAGTCGGTCGATCGGATTAATCACGAAGCGCATTATGGTTGCAGACAGCGAGGATGAAGACGTTGCTCCTGACCATTTTCGCGGTGCTGTGCATCCAGACGGTGCTCAGCGTCGATCCTTACGAGCACACCAAGGTGGTCTGTTACTGGAATAGCACCGCCTATGAAAGACAAGGTGAGTCGCTAATTGTGCTTATTGCTCGCTCTTTATCCTGCGGTTCGTTGAAAGAATATTTGCGCAGGGTCGAGGAAGAAGAGAAAAAACGAAGATTCTCATTATCGGGCGATCATTAAGGTTGACACGCGTGTGCATCGCGCGATATAATAAATTGTTTGTGAGTCACACGGTTATATGAGAGACGTTACAAAACTAAAGTGAACGGCATAACGGAGGACAATTCTTTAACCAAAGACAAAGGAGAAAGCTGATCCCTTCCTCTCTTTCTCTCTTGTAGCTTTTACTTTGTAAAACTTGCGGTTTTAATAAACACGATAGTCACGAATGTTTGATTATAAGTAAATTTTATTTGTGCACACGAGGATCCTCTGATGAGTCCTTTTTGTCATTATTTCATAGCGGTAAAAACGCATTATAAAGAGGATTATTTTGTTCTCCGTCTTCTCTTCTCTTTCCTCTCTTTCTTGTTTGAAATGATTACGAGGTTATTGTGTTTATATTTGTACATTATTCCGACGATTCGAAACAAACAATATTTGGGCTGCACCGCTGACTTGTATTTCTTAGAAAGCGCTTGTCGTGCTGTGTGTACGACGATAAACCTTAAGGTCAACCTTATCTTCAATGGCAAAGTACCAGATATATATATGTAAATATGAAACCGGAATTTTTGTGTAGAAAATACACGTTTATTGTATGAAAATGATAAAGAATATTTTATTCGAAGTATTGCCCATCGCTAGCTACACATTTTTTCGACTTGTCTGACAATTTGTGGATGCCACGCCAAAAAAACTGTTGCTCTTTTGAGGCAAACCAGTCGTTGAGCCATTTTTATACATTTTCGTAAGAAGTGAAGCGCTGCTCAGCAAGTGCGTGTCCCATCGATGCAAATAAGTAGTAATCGGACGGAACGAAGTCTGGTGAGTAAGCCGCGTGCGAAAGTATTCCCCAACTAAACGCCTCGATCGTTTCCTTGACCAGTTTTGCTGTGTGTAATGGTGCATTACCATGCAAGCAAAATCACTTTGTGTTGCCTTTTTTTGATATTCTGGTCGTTTTTCACGCAAAGCTTGATTCAAATCGATCATTTGTTGTCGGTAGCGTTCAGTATGAGCGGTTTCGCCAGGTTTTAGCAGCTCATTATAGATCACACCCTTCTGATCCCACCAAACACAGAGCATTGTCTTCCGTCCATAGCGATTTGGCCTTGCAGTCGATGTCGATGGTTCGCCTGGAGTTACCCATGATCTTTTACGCTTAGGATTCTCGAAATATATCCACTTTTCATCGCCAGTCACAATTCGATGGAGAAATGACTTTTTTTTGTACCTGGCGAGCAGCATTTCGCAAGTGGTTTTTCGGTTTTCCTGCTGTCTTTCATTCAGTTCATGTGGAACCCATTTTCCCATCTTCTGGATCTTTCCTATGGCTTTCAAACGTATGGAGACGGCTTCTCGTGTCACATTTAATTGATCCGCGAGTTGTCGTTGCGTTTGAGCGTCATCCTCATCCAACAATGCTTGCAATTCGCAGTCTTCAAACTTTTTCGGTGGTCTTCCACGTTCTTCGTTTCTCACGTCAAAATCGCCACGTTTGAATTTTTTTAAACCACTCAAAGCACTGTGATTTACCAAGAGCATGCTCACCGTAAGCTTCGACAAGCATTCGATGCGATTCTGCAGCAGTTTTCTTCAAATGGTAACAGAAAATCAACGCTGTCCGCAAATCGTAGCTTCCAGGCACAAAATTCGACATGTTCAACGCTATCACAAACTATGCTGTTGTATGAAACTTGTATTGTTGTGAGTTGAAAATCTTTGTCAGATGTCAACAAATGGAAATGGCGCCAATGACGCGGTTTGACGGTAACTACATTGACAGCTAGGACCATCTATAGTCAAATTCCGGTTTCATATTTACAAACCTGGTAAATCTGCCGTCTGGAGATTCCAAATGAGTGAAATCGTAACTGAAGAGTCGTTTCGCTCATTATCAATCATCAATTAGATACGGGTCTCACGTTTCGCGTGAGATTTTCCGACGCATAATTTCACCGACATTTAAATACAAAATTTCAGCAACAATGCGTTTGAAATACGGCAACATCTCGATATTACACTTCAAATCCGTGTCGTTCAATGTCACCGAAAAATAGAGACACTGAAAAGCGTCGTCTTACCTTTCAAGGTCCAGCAAAGTTCCAGCTGGAGGATGTCAGACCCGCTTTATCCCTCTGCACTCACCTGGTCTACGGATATGCTCACATCAACCCCGACTTTGAAGTCATACCTGCCAATCCGAACTTAGACACCGGCTCGGGCTACGCTTACTACCGATTAGCCACGCAACTAAAGCGTACGTTCCCCGACTTGAAAATCTATCTGAGCATCGGAGGGAACTCCGATCCTTACGACGAGGAGCACAAGTATCTCGTGTTGGTGAGTGCGTGCTTTCACGTGCGACATTTTTAAAGCGAGACCCTCAATACCCGAATAATCCGATTAAAATTCCTTCGCGCGCGGAACGAAAGTAAAAAAAAAAAAAAAAAAGAAAACGATTAGAGAACGTACGGGAGCAAAAAAGATGATAACAGTGACACGAATGAAGGGGAATAGTGAAGATTTTCCGGTTTGGCGCAGACCGAGACTTCGGAGGGCAGAACCAAGTTCATCAACTCTGTGAATCGCCTGCTGAACGACTACGACTTTGACGGGATCGACCTGGCGTGGCAATTCCCGCCTGTCAGGCCCAAGAAGCAGCGTAGCACTCTGGGTTCTTTCTGGCACGGTCTCAAGAAGAAGCTGGGCTACGGCAAATTCAAGGACGACAAGGAGCAGGAGCACCGCGACGGTTTCACCATCTTGGTCCGTGACCTCAAGTCGCAGCTCAGGCCGCGCCTTAAGGCTCTCACCGTCACGGTGTTGCCTCACGTGAACGCCAGTGGTTCGTATCTCAGTGGCAGGATTGATTTGGACAATGGTTGAGACTGGCAATCCAAAATCAATATTAGATGTAATGCTAAAACTACATATATTCGATAGTAATTCGAATCGTTGACCTTTGCTCAAAGTATCGCGCAAAATTGCCGTTTAACGACTGGATAATTATTGGGTCAGCCAGAAAGTTTGATTCGGTTCCCGACAAGTATACTAGGAAAAATGTATTGTTGCGTGAACCAAAATTTTGTTGCAGCAACAAAATAATTTGGTTAAAATATGCCCGACAAAACTGTTTAGTTCCTGTATCAACTGTAAACAAATATCTTGCTCGATTACGACTTGTTCGTATAACGTGATACTTTTGTTATAGCAACCAAAAAGCTTTAACTATATGAATTCTGTTAAAAATACTATAGTTTTTTCTTAATACATAAAATCTAAATTTTAGTGCACAGAAAGACAAAATAGTATCCGTTGGGCATTATTTTAGTTTGTGTAAAATAATATTTCGTTATTATGTGATTTTTATGGATAGAATAACTAAAATGCTTAATTTTTGCACACGAAGTCTAAGAACAAAATCATTTGCTCCAGAGAACAAAGCGGAAAAATACATTTAGTCGAGACAACTAAATATTTTGTTATATAAAACAAGATATTTGGTTGCTATTGAAAAATGCCTCAACTAAGCAGTTTTGTTAGAGATACTAAATTGTTTTTCCCGGTGTACCTTCGACCTTTAACAAATGCTCTTCACGACCGGGAGTAGGGCCGGCAGGACGCTGGCGAAGAGTCGCGAATAACGACGCTGACTACTCGGTCGATGAAGCACTTGTGTCCGTCGAATGCAATAAAGGCAAGCTGATTGACGCGCAAAGGTTGATGCGGATTTTTGGATTGATATCGATATCACGTCAGCGTGATCTCGCGTCATAAAATTGTCCCTCTCGTTGACAGTGTACTACGACGCGAGACTGTTGGCGCCCAACATCGAAGCCGTGCACCTCTTCGCCTTCGACCAGAAGACACCGGAATACAGCCCGAAGGAGGCCGACTACCCAGCGCCGATTTACGGCAGTTACGGTCGCGTGGCGGAAGACAATATCGATGTGTCGACGAGGCAAGTCTCACGCGACCCACCCCCCTCTCCCCTCCGCACAAGCCATCCCGAAGCTCGGAAATTTGATTTCGCGATAGCACTTGACGCGATCCCGACAAATTATCCTTCGCGATATCTCAAAGCGCAAAGCGGCATGGAAATATCCGGGGCAAAATGTCAGGACCTGTTTGGCGGCTCGAGCAGGTCGAGCCGCAAGTCAGGAGATCATTTTCACATACTTCGTCCTGCTCGAGCCGCTGTTCTCGACGCGAGCTTCGCGAATACATCAACTTTGCTCTTCCTCCAGGTACTGGCTGGAGAACGGTACTCCCGGTAGCAAGATCGTCGTCGGCATCCCGACGTACGGCCGCACGTGGAAGCTGACGTCCGACAGTCAGATCTCCGGCGTGCCGCCCATCGTGACCGACGGCCCGGGCGCTGCGGGTCCTCACACCAATGAGCCAGGACTGCTGTCCTATGCCGAGATATGCGCCAAGCTGACCGAGCACGCGGCGGGTCGACTCCGACGCGTCAGTGACCCGTCCAAGAAGTACGGCAGCTACGCTTATCAGGCTTACAACAGCGACAGCGGCGAGGAAGGCATCTGGACAGGTTACGAGGATCCGGACACCGCCGGCATCAAGGCCGGGTTCGTCAAGTCGAGGGGCTTCGGCGGTGTGGCGATCGTCGACCTGTCCCTGGATGACTTCAGGGGCGTTTGCACCGGCGACAAGTACCCGATCATCCGGGGAGCCAAGTACAAGCTTTAGAGAGGCGAGCCCGCGCTGGGCGGGTCGCGCTTGGAGTCGACCGCCGAAGCTGAAGAGCGCTCTCGGAGGAGTGCGACTCATGCCGCGGATAAAACGCCGCGTTTCGATTTGTTCGGGCAGAAATTGCACTTGTACATATATTGTCGTTACGTTCGGACAGATAATCGAGCTTCTTTTCGCGAGATCGAGAGAGTTTTAACGAGCAGTTTTAACGAGAGAACTTTCCGCGGGAGATTGTAACGCCGGCCCTTCACGGCTGCCGGATCGCTGCTCTCGTGATTATAATAAAAAATACAACGCTGCTTAACACGTGGAATTTGTTCTAACCCCTAATTACTCTGCAGATGAGGTCGCTTGCGCCGCGGAAATGGATGCGAATCGCTGCGCAAACCGCGCGCTGGCAGGGAGAAAGAGATCGCAAACGCGAGCTTGTTATTTCGACATTCGCGCCAGATCTTTCGTTTCATTTATCCGTGACTTTGCGATCAATCAGAGCGGCAGCTTTAAGAGCAACCAAATTTTCTCCACGAAGTTTCTCGAGGTCGAATTCGTCCATTTCTCGCGAGGTAAAATATCACGCAGAGAAGGGGGCAGAGGCGCGAGAGGGATGAATGGGGCAATTGACGCAGACGGAATAAATTTACACATTTGTATATGATATATATATATATATTTTTTTTTTTATATAGATAATATATTTTTCGTGCAGTCTATTTTTCCGGCCAAACGATACATTTGCACGGGTGTATAGCAAAGATTCTCTTGTAAATAGACTAGACTCATTAACATATCCAACATTGAGGATTACGTCACACCAGATACAGTTAATTCGCCGCTATCAAACGCCGGTCGAATCTCTTCTCCTCTCCTCTCTCTCTCTCTCTCTCTCTCTCTCTCTCTCTCTCTCTCTCTCTCTGTCTCTCTGGTCGGCACAGTGAATTCGAAACGAACGGGGAAACAAGAAGGGCACGGAAGAGGAAGTGAAGGAAAAGAGGATGCGCACACACATGGACTCGTCGGCGAGACGACGAGCCGATCGGGCTATCTCGGTATCTAACACGTGTACTCTTCTTGTACGAAATACTGGGCGTGGTAGAGTTGGAACAGCTTTCGTCTCTATGCGCTACGGTTAATCATTCGACAGAAACACATGAACGAAGGAAGGGCACTCCAGTGAGAATACAGTATAAATGTAACGTAACGATACTTCCCTCTCTCTCTCTCTCTCTCTCTCTCTCTCTCTCTCTCTCTCTCTCTCCCGCGGTATCTGATCGGTACTTAGAACTACGATTATCTCGTCTCTCGATTCGCGGGTTCGCGCGCGCGCGCGCGCGGCAAGATCGAGGAAAAAAGGTGCTTCCTCCTTGGCGACTTGAAAAACGCCGATTCTCTCGCCGAGCGGACGCTCGCTGTCTCGGGAGCTGCGAGATACTCGTGTCAGGACGAGCCTCTCGGAAGGAGCTCGCGAATCGACCTTCCTCCCTCGTGACGTTCGTTCGCGGACAGGGGGCTCTTGTTTTACATTACATGCGTGTGGGTGTCTACGACACGACGAAGGGGAGCGCGTCTCGAATCATCGCGCCATCGAATTTACGTCAACGACTCTCGCGCACCTGTTCGTTTGATACTTAATACTGGAACATTCATTCAAATGCTTAGGTTTTTATAGGCTTTTTATGCTGTTGCGACGCTATATGGCACTTGGATTACGCGTGTACATCCGTTTCTTTGTATAGGTACTTGCTGCTCTCATCTGGACGATCGCCGTTAACGAGACAAGCCGAAGAGCCGAGCGCGAGGCAGGGGTATACGTTGCACCTTGTATGTGTCTGTATGAAATTTCACTCGCTCTCTCGTAGGCGCGCATTGTTAATTCGGTAACGCGATAATACCCGGCTGAAGATGACTCGCGAATGAGCGATCCGCATTGTTAGGGATCACGACGACCTCGGGAGCGATCTAGCGGAGGCTGCGGTAACTTCAAGATGGACGTAAAGGCGAAGAATTGGCGAGACACGATCTCAGAGAGAGAGAGAGAGAGAGAGAGAGAGAGAGAGAGAGAGCGAGAGAGAGAATCACAAACACGGCGATTGCAATCGATGCGAGAGGACATTTTGTGCCTCGAATTTAATTACGAAAGACTCAGAACGGGAATAATTCGAGCCATTCTTGCGAGTGCGACGTACCTCCTGCTCGTCCGCTCGTCCCTTCGCTCACGAACGTGCGAAACGCAAAGCCGCCGTTAATCATCTTCGCGCCCGACGGAATAACAGCCCGTCGGGTGTTCTCGATATAAAAAATAATTCGGAGCGGTGCTGTGTCGTAAAACTTGGGAGGAGCTCGCGACTTGGCGTCCGCGATGATCCCAGGCAGTTTAGTGGAATGAAATTGGTTTTACTTTCTCTCCGTTCTCTCCCTATTCTCATCCTCCTCGGCTTTACTTCGGCTTCTCCCTCCCTCTCCGCTGCTTTTTCTCTTTTCGTCACCTCCTTGCTCTTTTGGTTTCTCCTAAACTTACGAGTTTTGGTTCGTTTCCGCGCGTAGGGGAGCGGTCGGGGTCGGGGTCGGGGGCGGGGCGGGGGCGGGGCGGCGGTGGTACATACGAACGACTAGCTCCGCGCATCGTACATCTGCACGGGCATAAAGTGCAACGAGTGAAACGAAACGAGACGTGGTGATCGGCACACCGAAATGCAACACGCGAATTAACGACGAACGAGCGGATCGTCCGTCAGGGAACTCGTCTACTTGCGCTCTATACTTCTTCTATTTTTTCTCTTTTTTTCTTCTTTTTCTCTTTGCCTACTTTGTCAATTTTTCTCCGTTGGACCGACATTGACCAGTTCGTCCTATAAAAGTAAAAACGTCCGATCAAAGCAACAAGGGGGGCAACTCGGGGGATATCTCGGGCTGTCTAAGTAGCGGATCGGATACGCGGCGGGCGGGTGTGGTCTCCTATTTCTAAACTGAGAGAACATTCGGGAAGAACGTAACGCGACGGGGCTTTCGGGGAGAGGAAACGGTTTTTGCCTCGACTCTAAGATGCTCGCGCGCGTTATCGGGGCCTCGCGATGCCCGTCGAGGAACAGAGAGCGTGGCGCCTCGGGTTTCTCTCGTGGGCTGAGAAATCGCGTCGCAATTATTATTCTTACTCTTGTTCTTACTACCGAAACGACTCTCGAACGAAACCGCGACAGAAGTCGCAGCGAGGAATTGCACACACGACGGCGCACTTTTTAACTTCTCTTTCTTCTTTTCTTTCACTTTCCCGCGCGACCGTTTTCCCGTTGTTTTGTACCTTCGTCGCCTCTTCGTGTCGCGCCGCCATCGAGCGGCCGAATCGAGAAGTCGCGGGATCTCTGAATATCAAATGCGACGCGAAAGCACACGCGAAAGTGCACGTATGCACGCGCGTGCCGCGAATGCAAATGTCTCTCTCTCTCTCTCTCTCTCTCTCTCTCTCTCTCTCTCTCTCTCTCTCTCTCGGCGAACGACGGCGGCTGGTTCGATCGAGAGAAGTGCCGGAAACGCGATCCTTCACGCCTCGATTCTCTCTCGCGCGGCCGCGCGAGTAACGCCCGGAAGCAGAATATTCTCCATATACGAGCGTATGTTTTTTTTCTGCTTTTTTTTTCGTTCCCCTAGGGAGTCTGTGTGTGTGTGTGTGTGTGTGTGTGTGTGTGTATATGTGTGTTACACGCTTTATTTACTTATTAATTTATTATTAATCTCTGTGTTTCTCCCTTCATATTTTATTCTTTTTTTTGTCTTCTTTTTAATTTTTTCTTTCGCCCGCTTTAACTCTAACCTCTACATGACGGAACATCGTTTGATGTTGTACCTATTATCTTGGTCCACATTGTTAATGCTGAGTACCTTGAGGAGTCTCTCCGTGTCCTTGAAGCCGTGCCTGTTGCGCTGCTGCTGCTTCATCAGCATCATCGTCGCCGCGGCCGCGGTCGCGGTCGTCTTCTTCTTCTTCTTCTTCTTCTTCCTCTTCGCCTGAGGTAGCGTCAGCTCCAGCATCTGCTCGAGCCGCAGACGGATAGGCCAATCGGCGCCGTCCTCACCGGCGCGTCCCTCCGCGTCTCGGTAAGCGTAGCTCGACGTGTTAGGCTGCTGATCGCGCTGATCCTGCTCCTGCCACCACCACGGGTTCTTCCGCGACGGGGTCGCGCTCGCTTGGTCCCGCAGAACCTGCTCCTGATGATAACCTCGATCATCGACCGGATCCTGCGGATGCTCGTCGCCGGCCACCATGAGCCTTCTCGGCTGCACGAAGGAGTCGTGAACGCGAACCGGCCGGGCCAACGAGGACCTCTTCTTCACTGGCGTCAGATGGGCGGACTGATGTCTCGACAGGGACTTGGACAGGCTGCTCCTGCCGTTACGAGTTTTCTTCGCGTCGTCGAGCGGAGGTGACGACACGTCCTTGCCGTACAATGAGACGTTCGTGGTGGGCAGACGGCGACCGCTGCGAATACGTCCAACGACGACGCCGCCGCCGCTGTTCTTGCTGGTGCTGGCGCTGGCGCTGATACTGTTGTTGTTGTTGCCTCCTCCGCTACCGCTGTTGTTCATCTCGCTGGGGTTGCTCAAGTCCGCGTGACGGCATTGCTCGGCGCACTGCAGGCAGTCGTAGTACTTCTCGACGACGTGACGACGCGTCGACATCGAGAAGCGGTCGTGCAGATCGACGTAACGACGACGCTCGCTCACGAGCACGTTACCGCGCGTTATGCCTTGGTAAGGCTGCTGTCACACCTCCTGCAGGTACTTGAGGGGGCAAAGGACCTCCTTGTAGAGCACGTCGCCCTCCTTGCCCGTGTGGTCGGCGGACCGCACGTCCGCGGCGCACCTCACCATCGCCACGCCGTCCACCTCTTCGCCGACCTGGATCACGATCTGCGCACGTGAACGTGGCGTGAACGGAGAGGTGAGAAACGGAGAGAGCTCGGCGGCGAGCTCGAGAGGGGAAAGAATTGCCGCGAAGTGGCCGCGACAGGAGGAGAATTTTCTCTCGCCCTTATCTCACCCCTCCCTCCCTCGGCCCCTTCTGCGCGGAGGGGGTTTACGTAGAGGATTTAAAAATAAGAGGGAGATCTTACGCAAATGTTATGGGTTTAGGAAGGGTTTACGTTGGGGTACGTGATTGTGTTAGGGATTCCAAGGCGACGCGTGCAAGTAGCGTAAGCGCAGCTTCACCTGAGTTTACATAGTAAATATAGGTAAAAGAGGATTTCTCCTCTTTTACCTCCTATGAGAGACAGAAAGGGAGAGAGAAAGAGAGAAAGAGGGAGAGAGAGAGAGAGAGATTAAGAGTGATACGCTTGCTTTTTTTTCTGCAGAGGATTCGGAAATGAAAGCGCGATAGGGACGAGGTCTTACTTGCGGGAAATGCGCAGGTGCGTACTTCGTTTCGCGAAATTAATAATCGAGACTTCATTAGCGAAGCATTAAAACGTAATCGAAGATCGATGAATCGCGAGAGGAAACGGCGACCTCATTAAGAGTTCCCTAAGTAAAGTGGATTGGCTGGGTGGTGAAAGGAAACTCGTCAAGCGAAATGCGGAACAATGAAAAGTTCCGCAGAGCGTTACCTGATCCCGCAGCAGAGTGGTCTGATCGGCCAGTTGCAGGTTGCACGTGACTTGAAGAGTCTTCTGGCCGGACTCGACCCGCATGACGTACGCGCTCGGGAAGTAACCAGCGCGGCCGCCGAGACACTTGCCCTTCCACCAGTCCTTCTCCGACTTGTCGATCACCGTGACCTTGTAACCGGCCCTGTAATCAGAGGTGAACGCATCCGCAGGTCAATCCAAAAGCGCTCAGACCAAGCTCGGACTGCAGCGAACAGTGCGCGGAGGTTTCCAAGATATTACACTGAAAGGAAGATAAGTAAAACTTGCACGTTGCACGAGCTGGGCTCGTCACTTCTACAAGTTTTCTACAATCTACAAGTTTTGCGAGCAGAACGAGTTTAGACATGTATCTCTCTACTAAGAGTCTTCTAATTTCTAACTTCTAATTTCTCTCTACTGATATCCTTCTAATTAAACTTTCTTCCAATACAGACTTTAAACTGTAGAGAAGACTTTCTTTTAATCCCTCCCCTGTGCCGGGGGGATTTGACTTTATGCGTGAGACCAGATCTTAGATCGTCGATTTTTTTATCCCTCGCAGTGCCGGTCGAGTTCTTACTTGAGGTCCAGCTCGTCCCGATGCCGCGCCTCGAAGTTGTACAGGACTACGTAGAGGTTGTTCGGCGGCAGCACCCGCTTGCCAGGCGGATTCAGGTGGTTCTGGTTGTTCGCGTGCGGCGACGGGCACGGCGACGTGCTCGCCGACGAGTACGACTTCTCGTTCTCATCCGGCAGCTCCATGCTCGACATCCTGATGGCGCTCCTCACGTGCTTGTGCATACTGTGGCTCTGACCCGGGCTGCAGGGCGCTGCAAAAGGATTCGCATTCGCATGCGAGCTCGCGAGCTCGTACAGATCGGAAAGATCGGAAAGGTTGCTACATGTGAAATGGCCGTTTCGTGTGCAACGAGCTTCGGGGACGGATACAGATTTCCGGCGGTGGTTGGGGGGTGGCAAGAGAGTCGTAAGCAAGTCTTTGCAAGTGGGGGTATCTCGCTCGAATGCGTTCTCTACGTATTTCCTCGTGAGAGTGTCAAAATAGAGATCATTCCTCTCTCGGGAGCACATCTTGATGAAGTGCGAGGACAAGGCTCTTTGAGATGAAGGGCAAGCTGGGGGGACGAAAGTTGCATACATCAAAAACTCGTTCGCACCTTCGTTTCGTGGATGTTGAACTCTGCATACTGAAAGTTACATTATCCTGACGTTAATACGATTTCTCTCTCTCTCTCTCTCTCTCTCTTCGAAGGGGGTGTCGATGTTCCATGTGCCGCGCGCGAGTTGCGCGTGTACAACCTTGCGTCTCTCGAGCGTGGAAGTAAAATTACGCGAGGCATATCCTGGTGCCTTGGCGCGTCTCGCTAGTTTCCCCCCGTAAATGCCCAACGACGGAAGAGGCGCATCTGTCCTCTCTTCCTCTCAAGAACTACAGCTTGTGTGTCTGTACGACGTGTGTACGTGTGTATGTGTGTAGCCTCGCACACGAAGAAGCCAGAGCGTCACGCCGCTTCGAGCGGCGTGACGTCCGAGAGCGAGAGCTTGATGGGCTACCAAAGTGTGGACTAATTCACCGTTGTCAAGCGAAAACGAGCCCGTCCAAGCTGAGGTGAGCATGGCGCAGCTGAACGGCGAGCCTCTCTCGACACAGCTCGACTACTCGCTCGCTCGCGGCGCGCGGTACTCTACTCTAGGAGAGAGAAGCTTCGCAAATCGGCCATTTTATATGCACCGACCTAATGCCACGTTAATTTACGGGTCACGCGAGACTCGCGGCTACTCACACAGCCTGTTGATACTGCCGCTGTCGGAGTGCCGGGGCGGTGTGGTCTCCTTCTGACCGGCGGGGTAGTAATCGCGCGGCCGATGCCGCACGTGTGCCGTGCCTTCCGGCGAGTCCAGGCTGAGGCTCTTCATCCGCAGATTCAGTCTCTCGCGTCTACGTTGCGGACTATGCGGCGCTTGGTTTTCCACAATGTTCGATTAGAATGTTAGCGTCGATCAAGCGCGAGCATCACACACCTCGACGCTGACAGCGAACGGTCATCTCTCGGCGAGAGAGAGAGAGAGAGAGAGAGCCGTCGATCGACGCACAGTGTTGTGATACAGGAATTGATGTTCAAGAAGGCATTCTACGGCATTCAATTTTCAACCGATTGGGGCGATTTCTGTTTTCTCAGATGAAGGTGAGAAGATCACCTACAAATCTACCGAGCGATATTTTTTTCGATATCAGGAATTCTAACCAGATCCTTAGTAGACAAAGTATGAAATATTGATACATTTTCAGAAGATGATTTTTTCGTCAACGCGCAAACCATTGTAATTGCTAAACTATGGTATTGGTTTTCTTCCAATGTCTTCTTACACTTGCGATATATATGTAAATCCGAAGAAATCAATAGCTTATGCATTAAATTCATTCATTCGTTGCTACTCGGGAAACTGTCTGAATCTTCGAGTTTTCTTGTTTCTTGCCTCTGCAGCTTGCAGCTTGCTCCGCAGGTTTGGAGTTTACGAGTTGAGTAGTAAAAGATTTACAATTCATGGATTCATAGTTTGGCAATTATAATGGTTTGCGCGTTGACAGAAGTCGAAAAAATCGTCTTCTGAAAATGTATCGATATTTCACACTTTGTCCGTTAAGGATTCGGTTAGGATTCCTGATATCGAAAATATCGCTCGGGTAATCTTCTCACCTTCATTAAGAAAAAAAAAGAAATCGTCCTAATCGGTTGAAAATTGAATGCTGTAGACCTTTTCGACCATCAATTTCCTGTATCACAACACTGTGCGACGACGCGATGTTCCGAAAAATCTGAGACTCTCCGGGCCACCTCGATGCGCGAGCAGCTTCGACTGCCAATAACTGCTAATGACGCGGCCAAGTCGTGGCACGTTTTCAACGGGAACGAGTCTCGCAAATTTCGTCGGCGAATTGAACGAAGTCGGGGTCGAGTTTTCCACGATCAAAGCATCGCATTGTCGCTCGCGATGAATAACTGCTCCGCCGAATGAGTCATTAACGCGCTTTGGATCACTCAAAGCCGGCCGGTGCGATTATTGATTTGATCTGGAGGAGAGCCTCGGGGTCGACTGGATCTTCGGGCGAGATATTTAGCGTCGCGGCTCAAAGGGAACGGAGCGCGAGCCCGATTAAATTTTCACAATGAACTCGCGGCACGGATCGATAGTCCCCCTCATTTGCAATGAGCCGTATAAATGAAGTCCCGCGCGAATCGCGGCGAGATCAATTTGAAAGGGAGACGGCCGGGCCGAGTCAGCGTCGAGAGTGTGTGGAAGTGTCAGCTGCACGAGTATAAGCGGAACAACCTATTATTTGCCGGCACATTAATCATTAAGTGTAACCTATGTACTGAAGTATATACAAAAAGCTCGCAAGCAGCGTAATTACGACGGGACACGACTCGCACGCGAAAAATACGCAAGAAAAGGCACTGTCAGACACTGCGGTGAGAGAGGCACTTTTATTTACAATATTTACATACGCTTTCGTGTCGGCGAGAAACCTGCGCGAACATTGTTGCGGACGTGCGTGTGAGGAGACGGCAATTTGCAGGGTAATAAGCCACCTGGGCCGTAACGTCTCCTCTAGACTACACGTCGGCTACCTCAAGTCTTCTTCTTCTCTCTTATTCCCTAATCGCGTGTCGCGTACACTGCGTATTATCGCATTCGCATGCTAATAAGGCGCGATAATAAGCAGGACGTTGACAAACGAGAGAGCGGCGAGCGCGAAGACTCGACCGACCGCTTCCCCGCGCGCGACGAGAACGCCGAACGAGCGTTTCCCCGCGATTTAGGGCGCGTGTATAAAATTCCAGACTCGCAAACAAAGGACGATTGTCGACCGCGTCCCGGCTAAGCAGGAACGTTTCGTCTCGCCCTTGCGCCCCTGCCCGTAAAAATATATCGCGGTCGAATTTTTACAGCGCGAAAGTGCGTCCTCCGCTCGTCCCGCGGACTATTTCGCTCGAACTTTCTCGCTCTCCGTGTGTGCTCTCCGAAGGAGGAAATAAAAGAAGGGAAAAATGGCTCGCGCGGCGCGGCGGCGACCGTTCTCAGCCGGAATATACCGAACGGGGTGAGAACGAATTTTCCGTTCGCGCTGCGGTAATAAAGAGACCGCCGCGCGGCGCGGCGGTGCGCCACAAAGAGCGCCCGGCGGAAAACGATCTCGTTCGCCATCACGACGGCGGAAAAGCGACAGCGGCGCGTGTTCTATCGATTTAAATCGATAGCGAGGCGTAAATCGCTCCATAGATTGTATTTACATACGTTTAACGAACCACGCGGGCAACTCGACGATTGCTCGGCGATTGCTTTGCCCTTCGACCTCCTCGCGACGCAAATCCGCGATTTCGCGATTTTGTATTCGCTAGAATTCGTGTGTGTGCAGCGAGCTAGGTTGAAACGGGCCGGTTGCAGCCGCTAAGATCTCCCTGCCCATTTAAACAGCCCCTAATGAAACGAGACCATCACGCGTGAGGCTAAATTGGGAAATGTTGCGCGTTCTCCGTGAACAGAAACGCGGCAATTAGAGAAAAGAGAAAGAACAGAAAAAAAACTGGCGAAGAAAGAGAACTTGAAAAATTAGAAGACTTTAATTAACCTTTTTGCAGAGACGAACGCGGATTATCCTACCTAGTTTATGAAATTTCGCTTTCGGCTTTCGGCACATGCGCTCTCTTCCTCTCACGCACACACACACACACACACACACACACATACATACGCGTGTATCAAATCTGAACATTTATCCAAGCCATACATGACAATATCGCGCGTTCCATATCGGAAACCGCATGTTCCACGCGACAGGAACGCGAGAGAAACGTGCGTCGAAACCCTCTTTTCGTTCATCCGATCGATAAACACTCCCAAAGTGCGATGGATAGTCGCGAGCGACGCTCGACGTGTCGGATGCAAAAGGGCAACGCGGAGGGGTAAACGACAGGCAGATAAGTAAGATAAGTAAGGGGGACGCACATGTGACTTCCACGCCGTTACGGGCGAATCGATCCGCATCGGAAGCGACGTTTCCTTGCGCCTTCTCCTTTCGCCTCTCCGCTCTTCGTCCGCGATCCAGCGTGCGATCATCCGGCGGCGCGATCCTGCGCGCATCCGGGACTCCCCGCGAAGCCGAAGGTATTTTTCTCGTGTGCGAGGATTTTCCTCGCACATCGCCGCTCTTCGTCATCGAGCGGGCAGTCGGCTAATTACCTCGGCGGCAAACAGACCGCCGGGCTATCACGCGGCGCTGGTACTTTCGTGTTCGATCGTCGATTCGCGTGAGAGACGCGACTTTTTTCTTTCGTTCGATCGTTGTCCTTCTCCTCGTCTCATATGTAATATACGGCGACCTATATATGCATGGCCGGATCGATACACTCGACTGAGAATCGACGCCCACATTTGCTCGACGTTTGCACGTCCGTTTGACACTCGTTGCCTCTCTGTGCTTGTCATTAGCGACTGTCAATTAACGAGCGCGCGCGGAAAATGTCCCTCCTCGGGCGTCCCGAAACGAGCGGCCGGCGCGGCGGTTGAATCTCGTCGATCGATTAGAGCGAATTGGTAATGGACGTGCCACGCGAGTTCAATGGATATTCTTTCATGTCTCGCATGTTCCTCTATTTCTCGGAGTTCTTCCTTCACAGTTTGTCGCTTGCGTCAAAGGTCAAAAAGACGTCGATAATGAATTATTGAAGAGTCTGTCGAAGTCGCGTTACACTTATTGGGCTGGGCTCTCCTCGAGTTTTCATTCTTTGGAAGACCACTGAGGTCATTGTGCCGTTTCGATATTGCTCGACTCAAAATAGTTTCAAATTGGCAGATTGCTCTGGACAAGATAATTATTTTTAAAAATATACATTTTCTTATATTCTGTAAAGTTCATAAAAAATAGACAAAAATAAATAAACAAAAATGAACTTCATTAAAATTCCCCTTGGAAAGACGTTAATAATTTCGCTATGAGACTCCGCTTGCACTTCCGTTGTATTTTCACACAAAACATTCATTTCTGAATACGACAGTCGTCCGGAGCTGATTCGAACGTGCGATAGGATATATTCAAGAATATGCATCAAACACGCCGCCGTCGTACAGGATAAAAGCGAAGAAAGTCGGAAGCGGGGTGTGCGCACGCGAATAAATAAAATCGACGACACCCGGGGGCCGGGAGGGAGGGAAAACGACGAGACCGGCGGTGTCCTCGAGCGCTTTCTTCGCGCACGGAAAAGGAATCCCACCCGGCACGTGCAGGCGCACTCGGATGCACTCGCGTGAATGCAATTCGTCCGACGCGACGCGAGACGCAACCAGACGGGACGCATCGTCATCGTTTCTTATTGGCACCGCGCTGAGGTTGCACTTCCGTCTCGGGTGTCTTCTGCGAGGACGTCGACGGCGGCGACTCCTGCGACATCAGCAGCAGGGGCTGGCCGAAGGGTCGCGTGCCGGAAGTGGATCCACCGCTGCCGCGTCCTGATCAATCAAATGTCAAGGATACCGATAGTTTCTAGTTTCTCTTCTAGCGGTTAATTGCATCTCTCTCTCTCTCTCTCCCTCTCTCTCTCTCTCTCTCTCTCTCTCCCTCTCTCTCTCTCCCCCTCACTCTCTCCCACCCTCTCACTCTTCACTCTCGACTTTTCTCTTTCTCTCCCATTCTTTCCTCTTAGGGAAGACTTGCGTGTCAGTTGGTGTCTCGCTCTCAGGGTTGTTTAGAGGGTTACGCAAAAATCGTCAAAGCTCTCTCACAAATTCTCGTTAATTATTGTCGTTAGGATAGCACAGGCTGGCCCAAATCCTGGCGTTACCGTCCTCTCGGGGTTAGTCGGCGGCGAGATTCTCTTTTCGTTATTCGCTCCTTGTCGTCCACTCGTGGATCGTGATTTATTTACTCGCACCCGAAAACATTCCTGTTACTACGTAATTACTATCGTAATTTTTCGATGTCGAACTCGGCATGATTGCCGAAAGAAAGAAAAAAGGAAAGACGTGCGATTGCGAGACAAACAAAAGAGGAAACAAGGAATCTACAAATCAGCGATCAAATAACGAAAGAGAAGAAAAAGATCCTAAAGACGCTAAACAGCTCTATTATTATTATTAACCTGATAATTACTGCTATCAACACTAGGTCGTTATTGTCATCACCGTTATCGCCATGATTATTATTGTGTATCGTTGTTACAGCGGATGTCTAACTGCACACATATGAGAGAGAAAGCTAATGAACTGCTGAGAACTCGAGAAGGGGAAGGGGGGCAAACTTGACAAGCCTTCGTGATAAGCGCGCGACAAAAATCAAGAGGGCGAGAAGCGATAAAGTGTTTCTCTCGTCGTCGAGGAATGGCACCCACGACGACGGCGACGGCGACGAACCCGACTCCGAAAAATCGGCCCCCGTTCAACTTATATCGCCGCGATCCTCGAGGCTTTCTCGGCCGAGTGGCGCTCGACGGGCTCGAAGGCTCCTTCAGAAAATCGAGCACGTTCGTAATGAAGACTGTGAAGCGGGCGTGGCGCCCATTGTTGCTTAATAATGGCAGCGAGTCGCACGCCTCGATAATCTCAACGTTTACATCGCGATTTTACATGCAAAACTGTTAACGACACACACGACTCGTTACGTATCCCGACGGGAGCTGGAGCTTGTAATAGAGCGAGACGGAAATAGGAAAATTCGTGGTGGCTTGCGAGCGATATACGATTGAACGGCTGGCCACTCGTCGTCATGGGCGTGACAGTTGTGACGAACGTAACGCACTACACTATGGCACTACAGATATCATATATAGTGATAACGACTTATCGATATACGAACGCGGTAACGGTATCGATTAATAGCGATTAACGATGATGTCACAGCGGCTTACTTCTAGGGAGGATCGCTCGAATCTTAATCTTAATGATAAGAAACATGTGTGCGAAAAGAAGAAGACGAAGAAGAAGTAGAAGAAGAAGAAGCGGTACGAGAGAGAAAAAGAAGAAGCGCAATAGGCAGTGGCAGAAGAAGAAGGAGAAGAAAGGAGAGAAGTATATCAAAGTACCGGCAGTGAATACAGGATTTTTACGAGTCATGTCCCTGAAGAAAGACGAGCGGCTTTACATAGAGAGACACAGATCGACTTTTTGCGGACCTTGGAACTGATAGTACTGGAGCAACAAGCGACCATAATAATCAAGACGTACACACATACGCACACACAAACACGTGCTTGAGAAGGATAATACGTAAGAGTAGTTACGTAGCGGTAACTTAACTAGTGAACGAGAAGGTAGGAATATGCGTGAAGAAATAAAAATTCGAGACACTGCGGGACGCAATATTTTTTGTCCTTTTCTCGGATGGTGAAATCGAATTTTCTTTCTCTTTCCGGCCAATCGAACGCGTGCTATATTCTTACCTTCCCCGCGTTTTCAGTATGGTGAGTGTATAGTAACTACGATAAAAATAATAATAACATACTAGAAACTTATTTACACTGCTCTTACAAAGAGTTTACGAGAAAGAATACGAAACAGGGGGGGATAATATGTACTGTTCGTCGAGAACGGCCGATCATAAACCGATCGGTGTATCGACGAGAAACAGACTAGAGAAACTACGACGTACACATATTCGAGGAACATGTTTGCTCCAGTACTACGACGGTGCGCCCCGATTATTCCGATGTGTTTGGCGTTTACGATTGTGTCGACTGTCTCAAAGACGAGCTGTTATTTCCAATATTAAGCTCCGCGAGTCTCTCCGCAATTGCGGATTGAGGCGCGTTCAGGAGTCTCCCGGGTCTAAAGATATATCCTCTTTAGGGATAGGCTAGCAACGGTTCTAAATTGACAATTTTTGCCCACACTTTAGAGCATACGATTGGATCAGAGGACCTCCAATCGCATCGCGGTAATGAAGGAAAGAACCGACAATTTAACAAAAAGTGTACACGAAAAGACGAAACTCTCTTTCGCGTTTCGTGGCCCGGCCGGCCGGAAAGCTCGGTCGGAGCGTCGGAAGAGCTCCGTGCATCCGTCAGATTCCGTTTGGAAGAATTTCGGGGCTCCCGATCGGTATGTTCCAAGATCGACGGGAATTCTCGGCGGTGCGTCTTACCAGAGGTGGACGAGGAACAAGGATGGGAGGAGGCCCTCGTTGACGAAGGTGCTGCACCGGAGGGGGGATGTTCTGCTGTGGGAGGCGTAGGTGGTGAGTTTGTCGAGTTTCCACGGATCTCGCCTGCCTGCTTCAGCACCTGGTATATGGCGTCCACGTCTGCCCACACGGGATAAAGAGACACAGCAATGCAAGTTGCGCACCGACACACACACACACACACACACACACACACACACACACAGTTTCGCGCATTCGGTCATTCGGGTTTTCGGGCTCGTGATTGTCGGCTCGCGCGTTCCGTCGCGCTCGCTCGCACATCGATCTGTCTTCTTCTTCCCTCTTTTTTCTTTCTTTCTATTTGCGTTCATAAATGACGAGAGCATCGCGACGGCATCGGCGAGCGCCGATCGAAATCGGAGAGACCCAGTCGCGCCGCGCGATGAATAGACAGGAAGTGCTCAGTCACCGGATGTAATGTCGAGTTTAACGCAATCTTAATTTAAAGCTTTCACGACTGACATAATATTTGATATCGCGGAAAATTAAGTGTACGCAGAGGGGAAACGGGAGAAAAAAAGAGAAAGAGAGAGAGAGAGAGAGAGAGAGAGAGAGAGAGAGAGAGAGAGAGAGAGACGTTCCTTCAGTCGGGAATAAGAAAATATTGTCTTCTCTGTGCGAGTGCACTTCGTAAATTACGAACGAGCGCTCGTTCACCGTCGCTCTCTCTCTCTCTCTCTCTCTCTCTCTCTCTCTACCCTTTACGAAAGTTACATAAAATATATCGACTAGTGAATGAAATCGCGGGGGCGAGCGTGAAGGATTTCCAACTGCAAAATTAAAAACTGACTCTCTCTCGAGCGCGAGAGAAACAGTCGGTTCATTAATAATTCCCAGTCTTCTATTTCCAACCGTTTCCCCTTCTTTCTCTCCTCCTCTCTGTCTCTCCCGGTCTCTCGAACATACTCACTCGCCGTCGCCGTGCGATGAAACGCAACGGGGCAAAAAATCGCGAAACAAGCGCGGCCGGAATGTGACACTCGAACTCGTATACCTGTCAATGAATTCCCAACGATTTTTTACGACACGCTTTGCACGAGTCCGACGTTCCTCCGCGAAACGAGAAGGAAACAAAAGGAAAACAAAGAGAAAGAAGCAAAAGAGAGAAAAGAGGAGACGTGGGGCGGGTGAAGGGAAGAAGTAGAAAATGGGAAAAGTCCCAGCGATCCCGGCCGGCAAGACAACGGCAAGTCATCGGCAGGCCCCCCCCCCCCTCGTCCGGGGGTCGTTGACCGAAGGTAAAAAAAAAAAAGAAGAGAAGCGTCCTCGACAATGAGAGAGAGAGCTGTCGCGTGTCGCTGGCAGTTGGCGGTGGCGGTGGCGGTGGCGTTGGCGTTGGCGGATGCGGCGGGGAAGAAAGAGAACGTGGGGAACAGAAAGTCAGTCAGCGGGGTCGAGAGAGACGCGGGTTCGTCACTCTCGCGTGTCTCTTCCCCGGAGCGTCGACGGGACGGTTACTCACTGTGCTCAGCCGGCGGCGGCACCTCGTCGGCTACCTGCGTCTTTTGCCGCCTCAGCAGTGGTATACCGCCGCTCTTCTTCGGCGCCAGGCTGGGACAGAGCGTCGGCTGCACCATGTTCGTGCAATCAGTGTGCGCGTTGGCCTTGCAGCCGCGGCATCGGACACCCTGACGGCTGTGGCCGCGCAGTACCTGGCCGCACGCGTCGCACGGTGTGATCTTGCGATAGGTGTACTCGCGCCAGGTGTGCCCACCCTCGGACTCCAGGCTCTTCCTGCAAAAATCGATCGTGTGCCTTGAAGCGCCGGGCTCCTCGGATCGTGGCCTGCCTCTTTGTCGAAAGCTCAGCGTGGGTATCTCTCTTTCCCTCCCCCATCTCTTTTTGCTATCTTTTTCTTTCCTTTTGCAAACGCGCCTTTTGCAAACAAGGCTTGCTGTTTTACTGTTTATTATCGCTCGTTGTGCACGCGCGCGCGAGTACTGGCGATTATGTCGAAGAGTACAGCTGCGGAATAACGATCCGTCGACGAGTCGTCAATTGTGCTCCCGATGCACAGGTGAATTGCGCGGTAAGCTTGCGCGAGGATACACGAGCTTTCGCGATTTTCCTCTCTCTCAGTGTCCGTCTCTCTCTCTCTCTCTCTCTCTCTCTCTCTCTCTCTCTCTCTCTCTCTCTCTCTCTCTCTCTCTCTCTCCCCCTCTCCCCCTCTCTCTCTCTCTTTCTGGTATTTCGAAATTTTGTATTTCTCTTGTAGTATATATATATATATATATATATATATATATATATATATGTGTGTGTGTGTCGGATAAAGTTAAAAAAAAAGAGAGAAAGATTTGCACGCTTTACCTCGTTTTTCTTTTTTTCTGTTTTGAGAGCAGGATAATCCGATACATGAGAGAAAAACGCTGCTGTCGCGCACTTTGACGCTTCATATTAATGCAAAATGAAAACGTGTTGTATTCATGCATGGCGACTCTACAGCGCGCGAGGTTTTTTCCCGTTCGCGCGACTCTAGATTAGAAAGGATCGCGCGCGCGCGTGCGAGTACTTTTCTGTTCGATATGCTGCAGTACGAGGCACGCAGTCCTTATTATCTCGTATATTTCATTTGACTTTAATTCAACATCATTTTCACCCACGTGAGTAATACCCAGCGCTAAAGCGAAACACACATACACACACACACACACACGGAGCTTATGAGATCTTCGATCTCGATCCCCCGCGCGAACTTTCATGTCATTAGTTTTGAGGCTTTAGCGAAATGATTCATTACCGTAAAATAAGACAATTAGCGCACACATGACACGTATCGTACGAAACGAAAGAACGAATTAACTCTCTTTCCTCAACACTTAAAGCTAAACATACACCTCTCTTTCGAGAGAAAGAAAAGGGAAAGAAAAATAAATTAAATTATCGGAAAACGAGACGCCTCTTTGCGATGCTGAATTATTAGATTATTAAACGACTTGCGTATGTGGCATCTCTCTCTCTCTCTCTCTCTCTCTCTCTCTCTCTCTCTCTCTCTCTCATTCATTCACAAGACACATCAAGTAGCATTTATCCGCATCTTAAACACACACGCAAACGTGTTACAATCGGCAATCGCACGGGGAATCAGCAATGAGAGTATTCGTGTGAAAGAAGGACTTACCTGGACATCGCGACGACGGTGGAAACTGCGTGGTATATGGTCGCCTGCTTTCCTCTTTATTAGTCGAGCATTCGCAAAACAGTATCTACGGTTATTCAAAGTCCCTTTTGTCTAACGTCTGTGTTTCCCCTAATTGGGAAACTTATAGAGCGCACCGTAATATAGGAGCGTATTAAGTCGCTCGACTGACGCTTGACAAGAAGACGCCAATCGCCGAGTCGTCGTCGTCGTCGTCTCGTCTGGAGCGCGAATTCGCTCTTTGACAACAAGTCGATTCTTTCGATGTGCGCGAACGTGCGGCAAGAAACATTCCCCGATTGCACCACGTCGCCGTGCGTGTTTTCACAGCGACGACGTTTTCCACGCGCTGCAATCAGCGAGAATCCAAACGGCAATCTTTCTCGCGCGCCGATACTTTGCGCGTTCGGCTCGAGATTGAAACGTCGACGTCAGATAACAACGTCACGACGACCACACGGCAGTTCCCTATTCCTCAGACTCGTTAATTCGGACGTTCTACAGAGAGAACTCTGGTGAAAGAGATTCTATTGCTCTCTCTCTCTCTCTCTCTCTCTCTCTCTCTCTCTCTCTCTCTCTCTCTCTCTCTCTCTCTCTCTCTCTCTCTCTCTCTCTCTCTCTCTCTCTCTCTCTCTTCCTCTCTCTCTCTCTCTCTCTCTCTCTCTCTCTCTCTCTCTCTCTCTCTCTCTCTATTGAAATAACAAGAGAGCAAAGGGAGATAATCTCGAGTTAATTGAGTCGGCCTCGACTGAGTCTAACTTTCGTACTTTGTAGCGTTTGAAGCGATGGCTGATTCTTGAGGAACGTTCGCGATACCATCTGTTTTCACATGCAAAACGTCGCGCAAAGGATCCGCAAAACGATCTTCTCTCTTTCCCTCGAGTCGTGAGAACGAGGGGAACCGATTAATGCCACTAGTCGCGAGGCGCACGTATCGTATCTCTTGGCCGTAAATATTTGCGGGAAACAATTTACACGTGGCGTGTGCAACGTCTAGTCTCTTCAGCAACACGCGAAACAAAGTGCAGTGGGAAAAGTAACAAGGACAAAAGACGACCGATCGATATCCGTTTGCCCGGCCGACGGAGTAATTCCTTCGTTTTTCGGAACGAAAAAAGACTCGCGCGGAAAGGAACCCCGAGCGGGAGGGTTCAACACGGAGCGGACACGTGGCTTCATCCGGTGGAAAATTTCGGTCGCGCGTCGAAAACTTTCCCGCGGCATGCACATAGTGGACATAGTCGGGAAAGAAATAAGTGGCTCACTTGTCGGACAGCGGCGGCGTGGTGGGTGAGCTGGTCTTCAGACTTTTGAACGCTTTCAGCCATTTGAGCTTGGGACTTCCGGTCGAGCCGTTTGACATCTTCCGACTGGCCACCCCGTCCGGTTGACCGGCCTCTCCACCACCGAATAGCTCCTTCTGCAATTCGCAAGGTACAGGCGATCTGTATGACGTCTTGACAATGAACGTTTGGTAATTATGCTGATGTAATTCTAGTGATTGGTGCGCTTGATAATTATTATAAACATAAAATATTGCAAAATTCTCCTGCAGCCGAGAACGGTTCGCTTCACCTCGGCATCATCGAAGTCTGAGAAGAGAATCTCGAGTAATTGAGTCTTCGGGAGACTGAAGTTTCACAGGCGCGCAAATATTGGCGGAACTTTGACCTTTGTTTGATTCTAATCAAACTTTGCCGCAACAAAATTTGAATAAGAAGCTCTCTCGCTGTTGGCTACTTCAATATTTAATGTCCAAAGTCGAAGAATCGGCATTGGAAAAAAAAAAAGGAACGGCATCGATGTTCCCAGGCGAGGAAGCGCCGGCCGCGTATCGATCGGCGAATCTGTGTGTGTGAAAGCAAATGCGATCTGGGCCACTCCGTGCAAGTTTATGCAAATCGAAAGGGAGAAGAGTCCACTATCGTTGAGCTATAGCGTCATACCCGCGACCGACGACGAGCGCCGCTATATACGCTTCGTTGTATATCAATTTGCGTTGTTTACATGCCGCTATGAATGACTAAGGAGCGAACCTTTACTATATATAGTCACGTGGTTCGGCATCAACGGGTTTCTAGTCTATAGCCACGTGTTATTACCAGCGGCTGCGCTCCGTTATTACCCGCGCGCATACGTCGTGTAAGTAGAAGAAAAATATCCGCGCGCGATTAAGAAATCAAGAGAGAGAGAGAGAGAGAGGGGGGAGAGAGAGAGGGGGGAGGGAGAGAGAGAGAGAGAGAGAGAGAGAGGAGTCACGTGGTCGTTGCACGTCACGCATCGTCGAGTGCATCGACGATTTTCGCGCAATGACGTAGGGCGAAACGTCCCGACGACGCTACCGCGAATCCCTTGGCGATGCGAGCGAAAATAGTCGCACCGTCCGATAATCGACGTCGTCTGAGAAATGCGATAGATTATAATTACGAGCTCGATTTTTCGTGACCCGCTTTGAGGTTTGCCGTCGAGACGGCAACAGACAGGCGCGGGATCGCGTGGGCTCGTGTTTTTTCGACATTAATCCGGAGTCTCAAGATTCGAGGACGAGGCAGCAGTTTCGCTTCGGGAATCTCGTCCTGCACCGCGGCATGCACATATAGCGAGCGACACGCTCGCCAGGCAGGTAGCGAAAAAAAGAGAGACGGACGCGTCGATACAGCCACCCTGGTTGAAGCACTTTCCGCGGAAGCACGAGCCGCGCGGCCGGTCCATTTTCTGCGTAGCCGTGCGGCCGCGTATTCATTGATCACACGTACATGTCAACTTTCATTGATCCCTGTAACCGTAGACGGACATACCCAGGCCATTGTTCACGATCGCGCGACGTCGCTCCCTTTGTTTGCGCGGCTTCATCGACAGCGAGGGACTTTCCTCCCCGGCCGATAAGTACCGCGCAAAGCTCAAATATTATAAATACCAAGTGGAAAAAACATCCGCTTCTTTTCTTCATCGTGCGTCAATCCGATCGAGTCGAGTCGAGTCACACGGAGCCGGAGAAACGTCGGCTCGGACGGAGGAGAGAACGCAAGGGAAACGCAAGGGACGGGGACAGATCGAACGATCCGTCGTCGGCTCGATTGATCCCCGAACAGATCCCCGTTCACGATCACGTTGATGCACAGTGATGCAGAGCGTTAACAAGCTTAAGCACTGTCGCGGCCACTGTTCAACCAGGGTGGCCTCGTGGCGTCGCGCGAGGAACCTCAGGGACGACGCAGGTTCGTGGCGGCGCGTGGTGCGGATGCGATTTCGTATTTACGGCGTACGGCAGTAGAATGCGACAAGAAAAATAATACTAACGACTCGCGTACGCAATGTAGTCCAGCCCATCGCAGAGACGCGGCGACGACGACGAGTATCGACGAGTAGTAAACGGCAGCGCGCGGCCAGACCGATCCTGCTCGCCTGACCTGGATAGACGGACTCGGCGAGGCCAGGAATGGATTTTCAGACGCTTGCTCGTGCTCGCCGATGACCCAGTTGCGAGGGCGCATGTCGCGCGATTGCGCGCACGGAGTATTTATCCGGGGGTTTAAGCCGAAGCTCACCGATGAATGACCAATCGCTCCCAGTGAATGACCACTTGTACTTGGCTTTGCAAACTTTTCGGCGGATCAGCCTCTCTCTCTCTCTCTCTCTCTCTCTCTCTCTCTCTCTCTCTCTCCCTCTTCCCCTGGCGTTTACGAACATAAACAGCAGATCCCGGAGGAAATTGCGCCGAGATTCACCCGACGGACGCGCGCTACGTTGACAAATATTTACAACAAGCTCCGTTAGACAATGCCTGTCTGTAGAGTTTGTATCGAAATTCCTGTTAATCGTCCGCGAGATCCGCCGGGCGTTCCCGGCGGGTCTCCCGGTTGCCCAAAACACCGGTAAAGCCGTCCGCGAGATCGGCCGAAGTAAGGGGAACGCAGGATTCGACGTAGGTCGGTTTTCCCACGAGGCCGAAGAGAAAGAGCGCGCAATCAGCGGGAGAGAATTGACGGCAGATTCGGGTTTTTGGCAAATATTAATCCTCCCGGGCGAGATGAATTCCGTTCGCGTTGTAATCATGGAAGCGGGTCAATCGAATTAAGCTTGTCGCGCGCGGCGCGGCGTGTTTTCGCAGGCGCCGAGTCTGCGAAAGCTACGGAAGCGTCGAGCGTTTCTCGAGCGCGTTTCTTATCTGCGAGACTTTTCTTCATCGCGACGGCGCGTAATTATGTATCTACATCTCGCGAGAAGTAAAATCTCCCCGCGCGCGCGCGCGCCAGCGACTTTCTCGCGACGCTTAATTGGCGCGATCACATTCTCAGCGTGCCTTCAAAGTCCGATAAATTGGCACACTTTTCGCCTGATATTAACAGCGTTCCAGCGATCGAGCACGATGTCATTCCGTTGTTGCGTCCACCTCGTACACGTTGAGTGAGACGGCAGACTCGAAGCCATGCGCGATTGAACAAATTGGATGAAATGGACGGAATACCTGCTAGATTTCAGGTCGTGAGCACAGAGGGGTTAAATATAGAGTGTCTATTCTAAGATGTAACCGTAGGGAGTTTCTCACTTCGTAATATAACCTGCATCTCGCGCACACCATGTTACCTTCTGCTCCGTGAGTTTCGCGAAAGAACCTTATTTGGGCACTATATTTTATTCTCTCTTCTCTCTCCCCGTTTCACGAGTGACGTGACAAACAAAGAAAGAAAGAAAAAAAGGAAAGCGTACCTCCTGTCGCACACGTTTTCAAGTGGACAACCGCGCGAGCGTACGAGGTGCGCTTTTGTGTCAGACACAAACGGAAGGAATGCGTGGACGAAAAATCGCGCATACCTGTGCCTGCACCGCGGCCAAACGCAGTTGCGCCACTCCGAGGTCGAAGCGCTTCAGCGAAATGTCTTCCTGCAACTCGGCCACCTTCGTGTAAAGATTACCCTCGGCGCTTCTGCAACGAGTAACGATAAGTTAGCGATTAGCGCGTCTCGTTTTAAGGGGACAATTATACATGCGGAGCGGGCCGTTTCCGAGGTTATTTCTACGAATTTTCTAACAGAAACGGTAGGATCAATGAACTGACTTGAAATTTTCATTTCAGTGTATTCATTAATGTAGTTCAAGGTGTAAAATATACTTGTGGAAAGTATACACATAAAACTTTCAACGCGTCAACCTAGAAACACCATTTTCTTAAACTGTCGATAGGATTACGCAAAAACTACTGAATCGAGTAACTTGAAATTTTTTAACACACAATACACTATAGACATGTAGTTGTCGCGTCTCTACCTTGAATATAGTTATATTTTGTTTGATTCATTTCTTTGAAAATGATTACAAGTTGAGAAAAGTTCCATTTTTGATATTTTTTTTTGTACAGTCATTATTTTTCTAAATTTGACTTCACCGTCTTCATTTTGGTACGGGCTATAATGACAATCATATATTTTTAAAATCTTTCTCATTTTTTGGTTTCAGAATAATGAGAGACCTGAAATTATGTCGACAGCAAATATAGAGCTCGCAAACGAACGATTGCATTTTTATCTGTAATTATATTATCTATAATTAATCTATAATTATCTATAATTAAATTGGATCGGTTCTTGTGATTCAATAAAATTTATTTTATACTTTGAACATTGAATGAATACACTGTGAACATTTCAAGTCCATCGATCTTATCGTTTGGCGTTAAAAAAAATTCGTAAAAATAGCCTTGAAAACGGTCTTCCGCCTCCCCCCTTAAAAAGAAACGAGACACCGATTCATTAACTAAAAGCCGACTATTAACATTCTTGAAATAATAGAGGTGGGCTCGAATAAAACGATAGATTCACATTGTTTCCAAATTATTTTTTTGCAAAACAAGATAGACACATTCGTGACAAAAGAAAAATTAAACGCGCGCGTTTTCTCTCTCTCTCTCTCTCTCCCTCTCTCTATGATAAAATGAAATTTCAATACGCATTCTCGAAATATTTGTACAAATCTCTTCCACGTGCGCGTGTCAAACGCATTTTATTATAAATTTGACGGAAGAACTCGTGCGAAATGAAATAATGCATATGTACAAGTAAAATATTCGCTAAAATGAGATTTGCTTTCCACGTGCGGCATGTAAAAACAAGAAAGAATCGCGATATCCGAGGCTATTCTCTCTTGTTTTTAACGAGTTTAACGAAGATAATGCTCGTGAAAGATAACTGGACGCTGGATGACGTTGAAGCAACGAGGAAGGAGATGCATGAAAGTGCAAAGTATGATTGCACGTACTTGCGCTGCATTCGCACCAGGGCGTCCAGGGCGTCCTGCAGGCGACCAATCTCCTGAGTGAGGCTGTCGTATTCGTGTCGTAAGTCCTCCATAAGCGGGAGCGTGCTGATGCCGGTCGGTACCAGTTCGTCCCTGAGCGTGGGCACCTGGCTAATCCTCTCCATCGGTATCTGCTCGGGTGGTGCCGGGGCGACGTACAAGCGCCGCGGCGGCTTCCGCGGCGTCGTGCTAGCCGACAGGTTTCGCGCTAGGGTCTTAAATAACACGACAACACGATTATCCTCTTAATCCGGTGCATACCGTTACGCGTGTACAATTGACGATCAATGACGAGCGCGAAGGCCTCGACGAATGTCGAAGGCGAGATGGACGGAAGTACTCGAGCCGCGTTGCGCGGGTCGATCGAATCAGTCGAACGAGACAAGTGAAAATAGATCGACACCGATCCGGAATACCGGGGTATTCCGGATGCAACGAGAGCGTGCTTGCAGCTGGTGTGTCGCGAGCGTCTAAAAAATTACAAGCTTCAGCAACGGCGCGAACGCAACGGGCCGCGATTTCGGAAAAGCACGCGTCGTGTGTTTCGTATTACCTGCGAGATCGCGGTCGTTGAAGCGCAAATCGTCGAACACGTCTCCCGAAACACTGAGAGATGTAGTGCAGCTTGGGAGAGATGCGTGCTCGCGAGCGAGACTCGAGTATCCGGCGAGGAGGACGTGCGATGACGTGATCCGACCGACAGATTCGAGAGAAGGCCGGAATCAGTGAATAGGAGCGCGCTTGGTCAGCCGGACGCCGGACGAGAGTTCGCGCGCGGCGTGGCTCGATCCTCGAGATGACCAATATGGCCCGACGAAGCGTGCTGCTTCCCCGCAGTGTGTATATGACCGACTTTAATCAGTCCCGCCTGTTTTCGCCGCTCCTCTTCACCGAATACCGGCGATTGTAATCCCGCCGACGGATACCTCGCTCCCGAAATTGGATATACGCCCGGAATGTCTATTTGCTATGCGTGATCAATATGTCCGGCGTACGAATAGCCGTATCCGTCGCTCGCCCGGCACCGTTGCCGCATCCAGTCGCGCACGCTTGATCGATCGCTCTCGATTGGTCATATCGAGCGTGAGATTGACGCGGGAACGCATCGCCGCCGCCGCCGCCGCCGCGGCCGTCACCGACGTCGGTCACGACGTCGAGGGATTTAACCCAGCGGAAGGCACGCGCAGGTCAGAGGTAATCGCGCGTTTATTTTGTCGCGATTGACCGTCGTCTTGCAGGAATTCCACGACTCTCGCGCGAAAATGTCAACGATCTCTTCGCGATGTTCCTCTCCCGCTGCCATGCCGGGGTGAGTATCATGATCTAAGATGGCGTCCTTCGGAATAACGCGTTCTGGAACATTCTCGCATTGGAATCTTTCGACTGTGCCTCAAAACAAACAATAGTACGACCTCCAACGCGCGACAGTAAACACGTCTCGTATGACATTGTCCGTGATTTTTCAGTTCGTTTGCGCGATCGAAGCCGATAAGACAGAGAGGAGTCGTCTCTGCGTCGTGATAGTCGAATTGCAGTCGTCGTGAATAGCAGCGGTACTTTGAATAATTTTAGAGGTAATTACTGCACTTTATTTATATGAAAATTAAGGAGAAAAGAGATCATCGGAAATGTCGCATTGTCAATTCGAGCTATGTAACCTAACCTAACCACTGTTGTGATTGATTGAGAACCCTATCGTTTGCTTCTCAGATTTGACGCATGGCTTGCGAGTACACACGACGGTTCTGGAAGGATGCAGGTTCTTGTCGATGCTGATTGCATACCGGAGGATCCGGTTCGGGCCAAGCGGAGCCGGCTCGAAGGTAAGTTAGGTTAAGTTTGCAAACCTATGCTTCTCGCGATCGCAAACCGAGAATACGGATTGTCGGAGCAAAAATTGCAGAACTGCAATTGCGTGAAAGGCTGATGTTCACGTATCTGTGAGCATTCTTTCATCAGTACTTGAAATCTAATCGACGAAATTGCATTTCTTGTGTTTTAGATTTGTAGCAGAACGCGGCCGGCTCCGAGTCTGCGGTATCCGGTATGTCACAAAAACTGAAAGATGTTGATTATAAAAACTTGTTGAAGCTCGAGAGTATCAATGCGATTTGTTTTGTTCGTAGTTTTCCACGCGTTTGTTTATGTGCCGTTTAAGCTGTGCTGCTCGGAATAGCCGGGGGGGGGGGGGAATCGCTCATTTAAATGCCTATATTGCCCGATTAAGTATCCAATTCGTTTAAATATATCTACTTTTAATGCGCAGCAAGCACATTTGCATAAACATTTTAACTCTTACGTTTGATTTAAACTACAATATTATTCAATAACATTATTAATTCAGCATGATCCCCTAATTGTTTCGAGCGGTATATAATATGCGTCAGAATTGTGCCACCGTGCGCGGAATTCGCGATAATTTCGATCGCGGATTTTAATTCCATTGTTTTCTCATTATCGACCTTTATCCGCGATTCACGCCTCGGCTATCGAAATAACATTACAATTCGAGCAAGTCTGACAAGACTTATTATCGCTAAAATTCGAAACGTATATTTATCGCCCGCTTTGGAAACTGTAAGTCTTGTAAAACAAGAATCTCGTTTTTCGGGAAGCATAATCGTCCGTGTGACACCTTTTCTTCTCTTCTCATTTTATCGCATTTTATCGCAGACTTTCATCTTCGCCTCGGGATTTCTGACACGAGTTGCGCGACACGCGAATATACTTTCAAACTACTTTTAAGTTATCACTTAACTTTTCGCTCGATCGTTAAACGTCGTTCGAATTATCGAGTGCGGTCACGAGTGCAGTGAAGTGAACGAAAAGTGATCGACGCGGGACGATGGCTGGTCCGCTGGACGGATGTGAAACGTTGCAATTTGGTGAGACACAACGGCAAGTTTAGCCAGTTCGATCCGGTTCGACGTCGTTGGACTTCGAAATGAAGCGGTGAGCGCATAATTTCAACGCTCAAGAAGCATACTATATAGCGCATGCTTACACACACAAATCGCATTGATCTCTAACGAGAAATGTAGCAAAAATAAAGATACAATATTTCAACGGCATATTATGGAACATCGCGTTGGTCAACTCTGATCATTTATAACTCGAATGCTGTAGCGATATCGACATCTTTTTATTAGAATTATCGGACTTTGTATAATCAGGCGTACGCTGTTGAAGTATCGTATGCTGATATAATATCGTATACTGATTATATACATATGATTGAGTATATTATTCCATGATATTTCTTCTATGATGTTCTTTATCTATCTATTTTAAATATGATATTGTTATCCATCTATTTTATCGACCGACTTTTTATCTATCTATTTTAAATATCTATGATATTTTGTGATGTTTTTCAAAGCTGAATTTTGTATCTATATCTTCTTGACTTGAGGCTTAACTTTATATATTCTTCACACGAGCATGAGAATATTTACATGCGAATCGTGAGGCGATATTTTATCTAAAAAGTACGTGAAAATATCTATAAATTCGGAAACATTTCCTCCAGTTATCGCAACAATCACTATCCCCAACACGGCCCCGATAAACAACTAAAAGAAAAGAAATTGAGGGAAAATATAAAAGTAGATCTAAAGATCCGACGTAATGCGAGTTAATCCTCGTATTTCAAGAATAAACGTGAGCGTTCGTGTGTTGGCACGCCACGTGCGCCGTCGTTCTTTCATCGAGACGATGTCCGCGAAATTCTCTTAAATAAATTGCTCATGTGCTTTATTCTCTCGCGTGGCTGCTCGGGCGTGACATTAAGACATTATTTCGCGGCTGATCGCGCGTATTAAAGTCGCGAAATTCATCCGTCGAGCGTGATATTGGGAAAGAAGGTCAGTCGTGACGTCTCGTCGCCTCTTCGCGCGCGTCGCTACGAAAAATCCCTTGGTATATAAAACGCGAACAAACCTGCAAATCGTTCGATGGCACCACCGCCTGCGCTTCCTTCGCCACGACTTGATAACGCTTGGCCTGGTCGCCGGCGCGCTCTCCGGCCGCCTCCGAAATCCCGGCGACGCATTTGCAGGCCAATCCGCAAAGTTCCTCGTAGACCTCCGCAATCTCGCCGAGCAACCCCGGTAGACAATGGAACTGATAGCGCTCGGTAATGGCATTGGTGGCGCGTAGTTGCAGGATATAGGCGTTATGCGACTCCAAGTAAGCGCGCTTCAATTCCTGCTCGGCACTGCCATCATTGGTTAGCAACGCAGCGTAGGCGCGCTTGTAATCCAATCTGGCGCGCTGCAACTTCTCCTCCGTCTTGCTAACCACTTGCTCGTATGCATCGCGATGGGTGAATACCTGGGGGTAAGCGCGTACACACGGATCAATTTGCGGCTGACGAAGGGAGATGCGCCGCGCGTGAAAAGCGCGCGCGCGCGCGCGTCGCGAATTGAAACGCCGCTGCCGTCACCGTTTTGTTCGCAATATCGAAACCGAATAATCGAACGGAGCGCGGCGGGTCTTTGCCGGTCGCTCTCGGTAAGCGCGGCAAACTTGTCCCTCGCGAATTTGCGGCCGGTCTTATCGCGAGCCAAAGTGTCGTGGAATCGTCGGGAATAGCGATTGCGGTATCGTAATATGGTAGTGGCATTTAATAATATGGCTGTTTGTTCTACGCGAGGAGGAAACGGGCGATTCAGAATAGAGAGAGAGAGGGTGATCAGTGAGATTGAATGAACACCTGTTTGCTGTTTGCAGAGACCCGAGTTAATTCATTAGAACACAATATAAATTATATCTGAAAGTTATTTGCCAAAAAATTTTCTGCCGTTTCTCGCCTTCAGAATTACTTCTCGAAGGCAGAGGAAGTTTTGCTACAATTTGGACGTAAAAGAAATTATTTCGTTATTAATGCGATTCTTAAGAGCTACGCGCTGTAAGGAAATTACATAAGGAGTCACTCGCATGACTGCGGCATCAAATGAGAGACTTCTAGGAAAGCAAATAAAAGTAAATAAAAAATATAAAGAAAAGTGAATAAAAAATGAAAAGAGATCTTCGCAATATCGTCGTTTTGCGACTTCTCCGCATGGTAGAAACAACGCCGTCGCGAATTCGTCGCGGGTTTACCGGCGGGCGCAAAGAAGTTTGTACGATTTCCTATTTCTCGTTGGCGCCAAAGCGGCGGGCGAGCTTACCTTCCGCGACTGTAGTTTCCGATGAAAGCTCGCCTCTAACGTCGGCCTGGACAGTTGTTGCTGCAGGACCGCGGCCAGGTCGAGGTGAGAGACCGCGTCCGCCTCGACCTGCCGTAACAGGCTCTCCCAAACGCGTCGCATACCACCGATATCGATTCTCGAATCGGCCGATCGACTGCGAAATTCGTCGACCAGACGTCGCACGTTCGCCGAGTGGCTCTCCATCGCGGCGCCCAACTCTTGGGCGAACTCGGAGACTGTTCATGGAACACAGGAGGAAGCATTAATCAGACGGCACGGGCGGTTTGCACGGGCGTGATTGAGGGTGAGCGGAGTTTCGTTGGTCGGGAAGCACGGCGAGAGTCGTGGGGATTTAACTCTTTGGGACGTGAGAACTCGTGTCTTTGTGGACAAGTTGGTAATTAACATGTCGCGAAGTACAACGTAGAATTCTGTACCGTGAAAGACCACGAAAATACGGATAGCCTCGGATAGTCTCCCTTCGAGCGGTCGACCCGATTCGTGCAAAATGGTGACTCGACACGAGTGACTCGGCGATTCGATTAAAGGATTCGCTGAAGGATCAGCGGAGGTAAAAAATCGGCTGAATAATTAGCGACTGGCAGGCTTTTAGAACGCGCCGAGGAATTTCAAGGAGCGCTCGTCCGATGTATCAAAATCGCGCACCGCCGATCGAAGATACATCATTCGCTCTTCCCTCCGTGAACTCTCTCTCGGGTGCTGAATAATAATAATAATCTTGCTGAGAGACGCGTCGCGCTCAATACGCGTTCGTCGATCGTCGGGTAAATTTTTCTCCAAGTCGACGCACACGCATACCGTCGAGGCGTCTCGCGGCCAAGAGACGTGCGTATATTACTTAAATGGGTATTAGAGGCCAAACGCGGAGTGTCGTTACGTCGGCGGGAAGATCGTTCTCGGCAGGCTGCCAACGGAACCTCGGGTTACGACGGCGACGACAATATGCGAGTGCGCAATGGCGCACGGTCACCGCGGCCCTTTGCCATCCACGTAGACCCGATCCGCTCGTCAAAGGCGTCGCGAAGCAGCGATCTCGATGCGAAGGTCGATCGGGTCGATCGGGGGTTGACGCGTCGCGGTCGTCGGGACGTCCAGTCGAAGAGAAAGAAAGACTCTCTTTGGCCGGTCGAAAGTAAATTGCGTCCTTTTCTCGCTAGAAATCGACCTTAGCGAAACGTTATTTTGGACGTATCTAGAGTGGCGCTCGGCCGCTCGGGGAGAGAGGGGGGGGGGAATTCAATATTCCCGTCTTATCCAATATCTCGCGGCGAGAGCAGGCGACTTTGAAATATCCTTCTCCTTTTGTGGATGGTACGAATGGCCTCGCGGCCGACGACAGCGCGTAAAGCGTGATCGTCAAAGGTACGGTCTGACAAGTCGTTATCGTTATCGCCGTGATAGCGGCGGGCCAGCCTTTGTGGGATCTCCGCGCTTCCTGGCGGCGATATCTTCGGCTCGCTTCGATGAACCGGCTCTTTATCAGCGTCGGGGGGAATCACGTCGCGAAGGTTGCTGCGAAATTCGTAATTTGTCGCGGAGGAGCGTTAAGCGATCGGTACACCAGAGAGGATAACCCAGAGGGGGCTCGGCTTGCGAGTCGGTCGATAAGGGTGTTGAACCACGTCTCTCTCAAGCCTGAGAAGCTGCCCGACAAAGTATCCGCGCGAAGACAAATTTTCCGCGCGCGACCTAGCGACCTACCTTTTCTTTTTTCTCTTATAAATTTTCTCCGATATTCTCCGCGCGAAATTGCGGCACGGTGACGACATGATTCGAATACCCCGTTCGGCGGTTGCCGCATTAATTATGAAATTACGTTGATGTATTCATTTATGCGCGTAAAATTCGTACATAATTGTCGACTGTTGTCTAATTGCGGCGATATTAAACGCGGTTATTAACCGCGCGGGCCGGGCTTCCGATTGGGCGAAAAATGTCACAGGAAATTTTACGCGGCGATAACTTGCGCGGGAGAAACGCGTGCAGAATGTCGCGCGGTTACGTCAACAAATACCTTGGCGATGGGGCGACATTGTCGTCACTTGCGATATATCATCGTCTGCGCCCGCCTTGCCAAGGCGGCACGGATGCGTCACTGTACGCGTATTTTTTGCCGACACGTTAGGAATCGGAGTGCGTCATGAGTGCGGAACTTATACGTGCGTACGACGACGCGACGAGTGCTTCTTTCCCTCTCATTCTTCGTTAAATTCGCCAAGGATTAGGATAAGGACACAACCCGGGCGGGTCCGGGGCCCGGTTATAACCGTTTCCGCAGGAACGAGCGAGGAGAAGAGGAAAATCTCTGAAGAAACGTCGTGCGCTAAGAGAACGTTTCCCGACTGAAGTTACGCAGGAAGCGGAGGAGGGGGGCGGGGCTAGATCTTACGTCGATTAATAAAAGTTGGAGACGCGCTTTCACGAACGAGAGAGGAAGCGTGTCAAATCGCGTAATCGAACTTTAGGGGGACTTCCCCGCGCGAGCATATTCTCGTCTGGTATTGGCGGAAACGGGAGATACGCGAGCATAATAAAATGGTCGTTCGAATAATCGGCTTATATCTTCCGGCGCTCGGACATTAATTCAATATCCGTGGCGCAATTTCGCGGCGGAAGTTTACGATGAATTTATGATGAGCGCGCGGCGAACACGCAAGACGAGCGGGGCGTCTCCGTGGCGAGTCTCGTTTTTCCTCGTCAACAATTCGAAGCGGTGCGCGGCGAGGCCCAACGGTGACATTATTTCTCTCGAAGCGGGCCAAGATAACTCGGGATCCAATAAGGTAAGCCGAGCTCTAATGTCTCCGAACTCGGCTCCGCCAGGGAGAGTTACCGTCGGATAATCCGAGACCGTTTTTACGGACATCTCTCGTTTAGCCGAGTGCTTTCGTCATATAGACGTCGTTATTAAAATAAGTCTTGCCGCACGACGAAGGTAAGATCGATATGCGCGTACACGCGCTCCTCACCGAGGGGGAAGTAAATCTCCGATAAATTATTTGCGAGATTGTGGGGCTGGGGAGGGCGGCGGGGCGGATGGGTGATCGAACGATTGTAAGCCCTCGAATTGGGACGGCGCGAGAGGGGACTTTCTTCCCTCTCGCGTTGATACAACGTTCATGCGGGAGAGCTGCGGCACGTGTCGATAGAAGCACCAGCGAGAAGTCACGTAAAAATGAAACAATGGCGAGAGACAAAAGTAGCCGGGTAAAATGTCGCTCGAAAACATCTCGAATGTCGGTGGGAAAGTCGGCGGCGGCGGCGAGCGAGCTTGTCGTAGACAAGAGCGAGCGCGACCGATTAAAATAGCGCCGCGAGAGAGCCGAAAAGCGAAGCGTCGTCTCGTTTATAAAAAGCCCTTGGGAGTCTCCCTTAAGAGTCTTCAGACTTAATTTCAAGTTTCACTCCGATTTAACGGGATCTTAACTAGTTGCCAAGAGATACTTAACGACGAAACTCGACGGGTTGCGAAATGGCGTATAAATAAATTAATCGTCGGCGAGAGAGAGAGAGAGAGAGAGAGAGAGAGAGAGAGAGAGAGAGAGAGAGAGAGAGAGAGAGAAGTCGCGCGGCTACAGCCGCGGCTTCGGCCGCGTTTAACCCCTTCCGTGGCAGAGCAAAATTCAATGAAATGCACTGAAACCGCCCCACAAAAAATGACAGGGCGGATTTTGTCAATAATTCGTATACTTCAGTTTTTTTGGTCGCTGAAGCCGAATTTGAGGTCAAAATATAGAAATTCTTCCACTTACGGCACGGCTTTGGCTGGACGCACCGGTGCGTCCGTGCCACGGAAGGGGTTAAACGCGCCGATAGCCGCAATCCCGTCGAAAACAGATCCGTCGTAATTATGACGAAATACGCGGCCTGTATCGATCCCCCTGCCGTGGTCGAGCACCTGCCGCCGATGGTGATTTAAACAGGCAGGCGACCTTATACGTCGCGCGTCCGCGCAATATCGCCCTCATTAAGACATCCCGCGTTAGCGTATAAGCCGCCCAACCCGCCGTCGGCTTTGGAATTATCGTTTCGCCGAGGATCGCCGCGTATATAATGTGCAATTTGTTCGCCGGTGCCCCGCGCGGACTACACTAGCGCCCTGGAGATCGCTTAACCGGTTAATCGTCAATTTACGGAAGCTTGCCCACCGAGGAACTTTGCCGAGCGAAGCGTATATAACACGGGACGGGATGTTAAACGTTTCGAACTGGCCGACGCGACGCTGCCACACGCCGTGCTCGTGAACGATATTCGCCGCGGGATATGACGAAAGTACTCCAGCGCGCTGCTTCGGCTTCGGCATAAATGATAATATCGTTGTTATTTCCGCGATCATTGGTAATGGTATACAACACGCGATACGCGTCGTAGATGATGGGGGTTGCGCGCATGATGTTGCGTCGCGTCGAAATCGGCCTCGCGCAATAAATATCGCGGGCGCGTTATCGATTCCCCACTCGGGATTATCCAGCGAGCACAATGAGGAGCCGGGGCCGGGGCAAGTTTGTGTGTGTGTGTGTATGTTTTCATCGCGACCGCGGCTGTCGCGGTCGCGATCGAAATCCCGCCGAGAACATCCGCCGAGTCCGCGAGAGCGCGTTAATCCTCCTTCGGTCTTTAATCAAACTGTTGGAGTGCGCGCGTGCTGGTAAATCGCGGTCGCCGGGACGGGATACGCAGGAAATTGAGCCTCGTGGCAACTGGCGAGGCCTCGGCGCGCTCGCTTCCCTCCCTCCCTTCCTTCCTTCCTTCCTTCCTTCCTTTCTTCAGCATACGCGTTTAGTTTCAGCCGCGCGCACTCGCGTGTCACGGCGAGCAAAACCGTCGTCTGAACTTTCTCTCTCTCTCTCTTTCTCTCCCTCTCCTCTCTCTCTCTCTCTCTCTCTCTCTCTCTCACTCGCTCGCTCGCAAAGCTGTTTCCCCACTTTGACCCTTTGTTTTCCAGCGCGCGCTCGCAAAGTTTCCGGTATTATAGTTTCGTGTCACGAAACGTTACGCGTAGAGAAATAATTTAGGGCGAGAGAGAGAGAGGGAAAGAGAAACAGAATGGCAGAACGTTGGCGTCCTCTGCGCGCGAGAACCGGATATTTCACCGTTTCTTCTCGTCGAAGCCGAGTGTCCGCGTCACGGCGCCGCGTTGTCCGTGACGCCGTTCTACTTTCGCGTAGCCGAAAATTGTTACGAGCATAATGTACGATCGTGCTCGCGAAAATCG